AAGTGGTACTTTGTCATATTTCGTACTGGAAGATCCTAATGAGTAGCAGCCTATGGCAAAAATTTTGATATGCAGGTCCAAGTCCTCGTATAGCCCCCATATAACAGTACCTCCCTATATTCGGTATTTTGATGATTTCTGCAACTTTATTCACCGGAACCATTTCAAATTTCATACTGGAAGGTCCTAATGGGTACTATATCCTAAGACAGAAAATTGTATCTGCAGGTCCACGTCTTCGACAAAAATTTTCGTATACTCCTCATATAAAGGTTTTCATTTAAGTGGTAGTTTTCGGATTTTTTTTATAAGTTCGGCCCGGCCGAATTTACCTTTTTTTATACCCTCCACCATACTATGGAGGGTATATTAATTTTGTCATTCCGTTTGTAACTTATCGAAATAATGATCTTAAACCCAATAAAGTATATATAGTCTTGATCAGCGTAAAATTCTATGACGATTTAGACATGTCCGTCTGCCTGTCCGTTGTAATCACTTTATCTTTCGAACGAATTGAGATAGAAGGCTAAAATTTTGCACACATGTCTATATATTTCCAGTAGGCAGGTTCGTAAATGGGCCATGTAGGTTAACATTTTCATATAGCCCCCATATAAAGGTACCTCCCGATATTCGGTATTTTGATGATTTTAGCGACATTATTCACCGGAATTGTTTCAAATTAGGTATTTGAAGTTCGTAATGGATACTACAGCCTGAGACAGACAATTGTCTGTGCAAGTCCAGGACTTCCTATAGCCCCCATATAAAGGTACCTCCCTATATTCGGTATTTTGATGATTTTAGCGACATTATTTACCGGAATTGTTTCAAATTTGGTGTTTGAAGTTCGAAATGGATACTACAGGTCTTCGTATAGCTTCTATATAACGGCATCTCCCTATGTACGGTATTTTGATGATTTTGGCTACATTATTCAAAATTTATTTCAAGTTTCGAATTTGAATATGGTAATGGTTTGTGTCAAACAATGCCTTTGCACGTCGTACAGGCTCTAATATAACGGCTATATTCGGTATTTTTGAAATGTTAACAGAATTTGTGGCGAATGTTATCTTTATCGAAAATTTTCAAATTCGTTCTAAATGGTGGAGGGTATTCAAAGTTCTTACTGCTTTTTTACTTGTTAATGCCATTATCTGTCATAACTTGCGAAACAAGTCGGCGTTTCTTTACAACTTGGTATATCTGAATATTTCTTTTAACCAGAAATCTGATATGAGTATGTGATTTATCGAAATTTATGATTTCACATAAAATTGGATATAAATGTTTGATTTCCTTCAAAAATCTTGAAGATCTTAATCTTGAAATATTGAAAATCTTATCTTTGCCCACTGTAAAAACAATAAACAGCAACATTTTATTTGTATTATTCACAAGAAATAAAAACAACAACAATCTCTTGTATTGCACTTACCCTCATAGTTGTTATGTAGTGATCTTTGTATTTATGTAGTAAAACTATTTATTTATTTTTTTTTTTTTGCAGTAATTTCAAGCTTAGAAAATGGGCCAGTCGATTGTCTCTCTGACCATTGTTTACTGCAGCAATGTAAAGCAGCGATCATTTCAAAGATTTAATCGTTTATTTTTATGGGCTCTTATTTTTTCAAACATACATACATACTTACTTATATTTATAACAGCAGTTAGCAACTAGTTCCTCGGTTTGAATACAAAATTTTTAGTTTGTAAACAAGTTGGTCGAAGTTTTATTCGGAATGGGAGGAGTTATATGCCAACCCAATAAATTTTCATTTTTTGGGGTTAGATTTGTTTGAATTTAAAATAATTATTTATTTTGTTTGAAAATTACTACCTACCTATATAATTTTCGCAATGAAATTTAATTTCAGCTACCATTTTTCAGAAAATTCTTAACCTCATTAGCAAGGACAAAGTTATCTTCCTAATGAGAATAACAATTCCAAAGAAACTCGAATGCAATCTCAAGAAATGCCACAGTTTTTTTATTTTTTTGTATATTTAAAAAACGAAGCTCATATTGGCGTCTTAAATTCAAATCTTCTAACATTGAATGACCCACATATTCTGGCTTTTGCAAATGACAAGCATAATCTCCCTTTCTCTTCTTCTTGCTCTTCGTCCATTTCGAAAGCATTAAAAATTGCAAATTTATTTTGTAAAAAAAATAAAAACCAAACACAATTATTTGGAGTAAATCGAGAATGCTCGAAGAACACCAATAGATGAAGAATTTCTTATCTCGGAACAAAGAACATTAAATAAAAGAGATCACGCGAAAACAAACGTCAACAACTGGGCGACAGCGGTAACAGAGGCCAACAATAAAAAATACACTTCAATTGTTATTCTTGGTGTTGTTGTTATTGTTGTTTTCTTAAATATAGGCAAAATATACAACCGAATTCATTGACTTTTTATATTCTTATCACATGGCCAGGTATGTTTTTTTTCGGGAGAGTACGCAAATTGGGTCGCATTTCTTTAATTGTACCATCAAAAGGCGATTCCTCTCATAGGAGGCGGTTCGTTTTTAATTTAATTAATCCTAAGTATTTGTTGCGAATTTTGTTAAAATAACTTTTGGATATATGGTTAAGTTATTTTGGAGAAACATCTTAAGGGGGATAGGGCCGCCAAACGTTTGACACAATTCATCATGAGGATAAAGAAAATTCTTGAAAATAAACCTACAGAATTTTAGAAATATAACGAATTGTATTAAAATGTATGTTAAAGTTTGGGATATCTAGAGGAAAATGTCGGACGAATCATTTATGGAAGAAGTTTTACTGAAAACCGGCACTATACTGGCAACCATATATACATATACCGGAAAGTTACACAGACAATAAATCATGAAATGTGTTAAGTAATGGACGTTTTGTCAAAAAATTCGATTAAAACCTTAAAAATACAAAAAATCGGGCGGTGGTATTTATGGAGGCATACTAAAGAGTTAACATACACTGAATATTTCTTGCAAGGTGGCTACTTTCTCTCTTGGGTGGAAAAAGTATTTAACGCCTATATAATATATTTAATTGGATTGTGCGATTACAAGATTTATTTATATTTTGCGCAGTTATATCCCAAATATGTTATTTAAAAATCAACGAGTTTATCCCATTTATGAGGATGCATTAAAATCCAGTGTTACTAATTATTAATTAAACAAGTTAAAAAGTATCAGTCGGTTTTGCCGACAGATGTATATCCTCAGCCAATGTTCGATTATTTAAATATCGAACATTGGCTGAGGGTATATATAAATTGTAACCCTTTGTGGGTGTGGTACCAGAAGGAGTTCGCAGACCTTACGTTAGCAAAGATATTTGAATGTGTGAAATTTGAAGAGAGTTGGATGCCTATTTCGCCTTCATTGATCGTTTTGTTTTTCAAAATTTTGACCCCTATGTGGGGGAGTTACCAGAAGAAATGGTCCGATCTTTACCATCTTTATAACAGATCTTCTGTTGATGAAGGAACTAAATTTAGATTTCGCGTTATATCAGCTTCGTGGACACTAAAAATTTTGACCCTTTGTGGGGGAGGTACCAGAAGGAGTGGGCTGATATATTCCATCTTCACACCAGATCTTGTATTTGTAGAATTACTAGTTGTTCAAAATTTCGACCCTTTGTGTCAAGGAATGGTCCGATCTCTACCATCTTTATAACAGATCTTGTGTTGATGGAAATATTAAGTTCGAATGGAATCGGATGTTAATTTCGCGTTTTATGAGTTTTCATGGATATTCAAAATTTGCTCTGTTCCAGAACCTACAAGAATCTACTAGTTTTGAATATTCCTCATTAAGGGAAAATCGGTTATCGTAGTAAAAACTTTTACATACTTGCTTGAACAGACCATTTGTGGGGGAGGTACTTGATGGGGTAGCCGTTATTGTCCATTTTCGCACCTGACCTAACACTGATGCAAATCTAAGGATTTGCCAAGTTAGAGCAAAATCGGATTATTCTTTCTCTTTCTGTGCAATAAATTATATATTTTTTTATTTCAACCTTTTGTGGCGAAGGAGTGGACCGATATTATCCATCTCCGAACTCGGTCTAAGTTTGATAAAAATATTACCATGTACCAAGTTTGGATTCAAATCGTGCTCATCAGCCTGTCAGACGGACGGACATCTCTAGATCGACTCCAAATGTCCTAAAACAGATTTGGTCCAAAGAGACCTAGGATCTAAAACGTTTTGGCCGCTTGTGGTATCAAATTATATATATACCCTCTCTAACCATATTGCTGAGAGTATTAAAAAATACCAATTACGTCCCTGACAGTGCTTTGAAAAATATTCTATGAAAATCTACCACTATATTCGCTATAGCTCTTTGAAAAATATTCTTTTAAACTCTCTCGATTGCACTTCGTTATTTTGTGGAAAATATTTTTGAAAAATCTACGTTTCTATCACTAATTTTATTTTTTAAAAATTCTTTAAAACTCTTTCGATTGCACTTCGTTATACTGTGGAAAATATTTTTTAAAACAAAGATTTTAAACCTGAAAGTTTCCTAAAAATATTTATTTTTTAAATATTCTTAAAAAACTTCCAATAGTTCTGTTTTTTTGTTAACATATATAAATTATTTATCATTTTATTCCCATTTAATATCAATATTTTCTGGAAATACAAATTATCTGTAACGGTTTTGGAATACAATTGGCGGGGAATCCATTCCCCATGATCTTGTGACGGTGTTGAACTAAGTTTTCGATAACTTGCGGATGATATCGATAATATTTAAACAAAAATGAAGCATGCTTTTAGCCGCAAAGAAATGGAGAATGAAATAACCGAAATTGTAACATTTTTTGAGGAGGTTTATTTTAATCGCCAAAAAGTATGCAACAGTTTACATGAATTATTTACTAAATAACGCAACATGCTTACCTACCGGTCATCTTAAGAGAATTTTGCTAGACGAGTGAGTTGTTGCTGCCAATGAAATAAAACACAAGTATTTAAGCGTTTGCGATTTGATCGTTTTTAGCTGCGAATAAAACAACAATTATTTATTTCATTACATTTTGTGTGGGGGTGGGTTAGTACGGGTTAATATGGGACATATCAGCAAAAATGATATGATAATAAATATAATAAGTCACACCTTCTGCGCTTTGACCTGATGATAATCACACAACAATAACAATCTTAATTTAATATAAAAGCTTAGCTATCTATGGTTTAAGGGGTAAAGCTAATTGGTTGACAAGACGACAAATTAAAACACACTGGTAAAATATTCTTTTAAAACTAAAAATAGAGGAACGCTGTTGCCATTTTTCTTGCTTTCTTTCTTTTTGCAATTTAGGCCAGTTTCTTCTCTTTGGAACGTTGCAATAAATAATAGGAAACATTTTCATAAACCACAAAGGTGATCATTGTGGCCGGTACAACTCTGTATAGGCTCGCCTGCAAACCCTTATAAAAGCCCCGGGCACCTTCGAAACTGTAATGAAACAATAAAAAGTGAAATTTGTACATTAGCAAAATTTTGGAACAAACGGCTTACCTTGCGCTACTTGACATTTTCTTTTATTGCTATTTTTTGTTTGGCTTACTTTACTTATACGGGGAGGACAGACAACAACAAATGACAACGCTGTTTGTTACTACGTTTTCTTTTGTACTTGTTTTGTTTGCAAAAAAAAATTAATTAAAAAAGTCATTTTAGCAAAAAGAGAGCGAAAAGAAAGATTAACTTAAGCTAGAACCACGAAAAAAATATTGAAAAAAAAAAAACCCTAAAAGGAACAGAAAAAATCCACAACACTTACTCTTTAAGGCCCTTTCGTAAGCCATGACAAAAGAAAAACAAGTTAACCCTCGTCGTACAGAAATGTTTCTTTATACATACAATGTATATACAACATACATATATATAAGTAATTGAATTACACAAAAAATAGGCTCATTACGCTTATAAGAATGTTGTGTTCTATAGTTGATGTTAATAAAATTAATATTGTGGTAAAAATACTATAATTGTTGTTTGCGATATTCGTCATTACATTCTTATATTGCCATTATGTAGTAGTTGTTTTGCATCTTCTTTTACATTGTCTTTTTGCCAAAAGAGTTTTAATTAATTTTTTTATATATTTTTTCTTTTTCGTAAACTACTCTTATAGCCTATGAAAAAAGAATGCTATTGAAAGTTTACTCGGTTGAAGAGAAAAGCCATACAAATGCTTAAAAATTAAATAGTATTTTTTGTTTTTCTCTTGTGCTTATAGTCTATAGATTGTATAGAATTTTGCGTATTTTATAATTTATTTTTTGTTTTGTTTTCTCATTCATTCATTTAAAAATAAATTGATCAAGTTTTTCTTTTAACTAAACTATAAACTAAAACTTATCGACTAGTAGTAATTATAGAAATCGTAGAAAAATAAGAAATAATATCTTCAATTTTTACTTTAGAAATTTTACAAAAATTAAAAAAGAGACTATTACTGAAATTTTTAAGTGATACAGATTTCGTTTCCAAGAAACGTAGGGAGTAATATTGCCTTTGCTTTTAGAACAATTCGTACAAGTCATAGAGATGTAATTTCATTACAATTGACAATATTTCAATGGGAAGAAAATTATTCAATTTATTATTTTGGGGATGTTTTAAACTACCTATGCTCGTTTATTTTTTCCTTTCGCATCAGCATAATGTTCTATGAATTTTTCTTTTTCGTACAGTACTCCACATTTGGTCAAATGATCTAATCATCCATACACAATAATATTCCAATAAGAAAAATAAACAATTAAATTAAACGCTCAAGACGGCAAATGCCGGCTCTTATTTGACCTACAACAAAAGCTTGGGTTGGGGGAGATCTCATGGTTTAAAAAAACTAATGAAACCTGAAGATTTCACTTAAAAATTCCATTATTGCATTATCTATTAATTTTGGTGGACACTTTTCCAGTTAATGTTATAATAATTGCTTTACTCTGTTGAGTAAAAATATACCACGGTCTGGAAAGTTTGGATGCCTGAAACTATTCAGGGCCAAAAAATTTAAAAAACGGACGGATTAAAGATGTTCCATAAAAAAATATTCACAATACATTGATTTTCACCTGCGAAATTTTGTAGGTCAAGTGTTCAAGTTCTATCACAAATATTGGGGGGTGAGTGAAATCATTGTTGCTTCACATAAATTCAAATAAAGTGAAAATAACGAAACAATCTTTGACAATTCTTTCATTTCGACGTTAAAAAAAAAAATAATTCTCCACACTTTTCACTTACAAACTAGAACAATGGGAGGCTAAAAAAATTAAGTATTTGTGGTTATGATAGAGACGCTTAGCGTCTTTGTGGAATATTTAAAAAAATATATATCGACTAATTTTAAATTACAATACAAAATCTAAATCTTACATATAGGAAAAATAAACGAGATTAAAAAAACCGAAAGTAATTGAATTAGAAGAATACGTTTTGTTTAACATAAAAAAATAATAAAAATAAAAAATAAAACTATTTTTAATACATTCAACGAATTGTTGTTTTGTTTTCTTTTTCTTCATCTTCTTCGTAGTAATTTATCATTTCTAAATTTGTGGTTACATTTTAGTAAAAGAATTAAAAAAAGAAGCTGAGAGAGAGATTAAAATATAACACACTGAGCATTTTTGTTCTGTCATTTTTTGTGCTTATTTTTTCTTTGCTTGTGTTTACTTGCTAGGTCTACAAACTGTTTTCTTTTTCTTTAATTATCATTTGTTTTTTTTTTTTTTTTTTTTTTTTGTTATCAAGAAGAAAATGTTTGCTTAGATTCATGGGGATTTTTGTAATAGGTTTTTTTTTTTGTTTTGGGGTTTTATATAGGTTCTTTTGATACTCTAATATTGGAAATTGCCATGGTGTTTTGTGTGTTTTAATTGGTCAATTTCTCCCATATTAGCATAACCATACATATATTTGGTGTAACATGCACTAAATATGGCACTAGACCTTTATAAAAACCACGCATACGTTCGTACCTCCATGTTTGTTTAATACAATCCCATGTTCCCTGATAACTGTGATGATGATCCTGAAGACGGGCACGCACAACTTGATAGGGATATGTGGCGGCAGCTGCAATTAGTTTTGATATAGCTGCAAATGCTAAATATTCCGATGTTGCCTGAAATTAGAAGAAGAGGAGAAACAAAATATATGAATATTAGGTATCAATAAAAAATTGAATTTTATAGGTAGAACTCCAAATGCATTTAAATTCCCTAAAAAGATGGTCTACAGTATATTTTAAATTAAATTCCCTCAAAAGGTTTTCCTTAAATATAACTTCTTTCCTCCATACATTTAAGTCTTTATTTCATTTATCAAATAAAAGGATTCCATATTACAAAGAAGGTTTTCTATTTAAAGAAGTTCGTTAAAGATCTTCCTCATTATCAGAAGGCCTTTACAAAGATCATCAGTCGAGGAAGACTTTCAAAGGCTACTCTACTTACAGAATACAATTGGAAAGATTGCAAAATGTTTGAATAGTTAAAAATCTACATAATGTATTTTGAAGGTCTTCTATAGGCAGATAATATATATTTACAGTGTATGTGTATATTTCTGAGAGTCTAAAGCAAATATTTCAAGCGGAGTAGATTTTAACCCAAAATATCATTTGAAAACAGCAACATTTCTTTTAATTATTTTGCCTTCTTTGTTTTTATTTAAAAAATAATGCCAGAGTATTTTTAAAATAAAATCAAAAATTTCTCATTTGCCTCTAACCAATTTTTAAAATAACACAAATCGGCAAGTCATTTACAATTAATCACTATGCCGTGCGGTATTATAAAATAAACTTAAATATTATCTAAAAAAAAACATTTTGCCATCACTCAATTTATATATTATCACATACAAACTGTTGTTGTCAGAGAAAAAAACACCTAATAATCAAGAAACTTGGGCCGCGTGTGACAGCAATAAAAAAAGCAAAACAAAACATTTATTGAATTCAATTGGAGACGATAGTACTGGACTCACACATTACCTCACACTTAGGCTGTGGTAATGGTGCAATATTTGTAAATTTCCACTGACAAACAGAGCTGGTGGTAAAGGTTTATTGCACTTGTCGTCAGGGAGATGGATTACACGTGCCCATCAAATGCGAAATAACAACTAGAAGATTTGATATATAAGTTAATATTAATTGGCAATATCACTACTGATCTGCAGAGGGGGTGAGGTGAGTGGTGGTTGGTTGTGGGTGTATAATATTAAGTTGACTAAACGGAAAATGCCGCTGTTTAGTCTGTGTGTATCGCGAAAAAAACGAAATAATATTTTGCATGCCTACAATACTGTTGGATAAGTGCCAATTTGAAAATCGTGGGAAAAAATGTATGCCTCCTCAAAAGAAATATAATAGCTGGAGGATGAGAAATTTCAATTATTTCATAATGAAAATCACGAGCAATGGAGAAACAGAGATCATATGATGAAATGTAAGAAAACATTGCGTCGCAAAAATTTTTTTTTGTTTATGGGTGAAAATATGGTTGGTCATTTAAATGGTCCATATTTAACAAGTCAAAGAACGATGCCTGGAAATATGAACACCTTTTTGTTTTTGGTCCAAAATTCTACTAAAAAATTTATACGTGAAAGGAAAAAAATCAGTCCTATGATATGACCAGCGGGTATAAGAGAAGTGATGGAACTATTAGATGTATAATCGTAACGAACTTCTGAAGAATCATAGGACATATTCTCTTCTCTAAAATTGCCTAGAAACAACCATAATCATACCCTACAACATTATATGTTGGGGGTATTATAAGTTTGATTTATCCAAAAAATTTTGTAAGACCTCGAAATATTGGTCCTTGGCCCACGATGTTATTTATAGATTTTCCAATCTCGCCTAGCTGAGTCGTTCTACTAATCTTTCTATCCATACGTCTGTTCATGTCAATTTTTAGTCACAATACAGGTCGCAATTATGGCCCGATTTTAGGAAATTTAGCATCGAGTTAGGGTCAGTATATAAGCCAATTGTTGAGGGAGATTAATAAACATTTAGGGGTTGAAATGGACCATAAACAGAATAATATTTCTGATTTTCCAGTTATTCTATTTTGCATGGCAAAAGAAGCTTGGCAGGGCAATTTGCACGGTAATCAATAATTTTGGGGGTGTGAAATTGATCATAACTTTTGAATGAAATAATTGTCGGCCCGAACGACTCTAGCCTTTGCTTACTTGTTTCAAAATATTTTTAGGCGTAAAACGTGGATTTATTAGGAATAGGTTTAATAGATTCTAATGGCTATTGTCGGGTATTCGGATAAATCCGTTTTGTTACTAAATAATTCTAGAGTGTTTTTTAAAAGTATTAAAAGAGAAAATTGTAAATTTAAAAATTTAAATAATATGTTATATAGGTTATCTAAATTGAAATGTTTGCTCTGTTCCAGAACTGCAGGAAAGTAATGGCTTTTACAACGACAACCGATTTTTACTTTATGATAGAAAAAATTTCAAAACTAGTATATTCTTGAAGCAGAACAATTTTTTAATGATAACTTTCCAATTTTTCACTTACCAGTTTCGTATCGATTGGTAATTTTCGATATTCATTGTAGCAGTTTTTCATTTCTTCATATGTCATAAATTGAATGGCACCATGAGAAACGCCCAGCATGCCAGGAACAAAACCCTAAGAGAAAAAATAAAACAATTAATATATACAGTTCACATGGCAAACGTTCCTCCTCTTCCGCCCCTTACCTTATATAAGCCTCTAATGCCCTCTTCTTTGTAAATTTGCGCCAGCGCATGTACCATACCACGGTATTCTGCAGATTTGCCATCAGCTCCACCATATTGTAGACATAGGCGGGTCTTAACCACCCAAATGGGATTCGTCAGGACTAAGGTTAGTGCACCCGATTGGGCGGCAGCCAACATATGCATAGATGGACCCAATGGGAGGGTGGCATTGCCACCCTGGATGAATGTTTTGATTGTATTGTAACTAAAATAGAAAACAATTGTTGTTAATTGTTGTTTTCAAAAAAAAAAAATCCAAATGTTTACTTACAACATAAAGTACAGACCCCATGATGAACCGGAACCCCAAACATTTGGTGTTACACCCTTGTAGAGACCTCGAAAACCTTCTTGACGGAAAATGGTTGCAAACGCACTACCCAAACCACGATATTGTGGTACAGCTGCAGTACGTCCATCATTTACTGCAATGAAAAAAGAAAAGAAGAAAGAAATTAAATAATTTCCAAATAAAATGTTGACATTAGCCGGATAATAAAAGTGACGTCAGAGAACGTGTTGTCATGCGTTGGTGAAAGGTGATAAAATTTTAAAATCCAAAGAAAAAAATTCAATGTGAAATGAATGTGAATGCTTGCACAGCAAATTCTGGTTGCTAGGTAACCAGAATGCATTAATCATATCATGGAAAAATATCGAAATTTTGCGAATACTAGGAAAAAATTAAATTTTTCAAAGATTTGAAATTTGTGATCCTTGGAACCCAAGAAATTCGTTACCTTAGTTAATGGGTTTTCTAAATTTTCCATGGCCTCATATCTTCTCGTGGAATATTTTATACGAAAAGTAGTTTTTAAAAATACCTCTTGCGGAAAATCGTATCTAAAAACATATTAACACAAATGTTGATCCAAAAAATATTCCAATACCAATACATTGAAAAAAAAATAAAGAGGGCGTGTTGAGTTAATCGCTGTGCGTGAACAAATTAACATTTTTCGAAATAGTGATGTTGGCCACAGCTAAAGCAAATGTCACCGTATTTGCAAAGTTTGTTGTTTTGATAAAAACAACAAGAAAACGTGAAATGACGTGTATGGGCGATAATGAATACACGCGCCACCTTCACTCCCCCTGCCTGCCTCACTCCTCACTCAAAAACATACTCACACACACAAGCTGAAAGGCAAAATACCCGTTTCGTTTTTTGAATGGTTCGTAAAAAATTCAGAAGAAAACAAAATTCAGCCATTTGGCAAAGTAAAAAACAAGCAACACACTTTTTGGGGGCTCGTCTTACGGATCATGTGATGTTGTTTTGGACGTTGATCCACCACCAGGCCAGATAGCGCGGGACGAATTTGCATTGGTTGTCGCCGCTAACGTTAATGATGTTGTTCTAAAATAAAATAACCTTAACACAAAAAAACAATAATACTCAGAACTTGTGTGATTTTTAACACAAGTTCTCAAAAGATAGCGAGAGAACATACGAAACTTGTTGGTCATTAAATGATGCGTAAAACATATAAACTGATGGACAATGGTGTCTGTATTGATATTTCTTGTTATACACATTATTCTGGCATATGGACTAGATTATATGCGTTTCAAATGTCAGTTTCAGAATTTTTAAAGGATCGTAATGGATAAAGTTCCATATTCCCAATGGCATATGCTGTAACTTGAATGTGGATAGCCTATGGAATTAAATAATCACATGGTTTTCACTCAAAAGTTACGTTCATATAGTAAGGAAAAGTAAAAAAAAATAGGGCGGGGCCGCGACTATATGATAGTCTACACTACGCATGCATATTTAGTAGAGCTCCCATAAAAAAAAATTTCATTTGAAATAGATCATACCACCCATCAGCATTTTGGCTTTAGAGCAGTTATAGTTTGATTCTAGAGGGAACTAATATATAGGATTCATATCCAATTCTGAATCAAGTTTTACTAAATTTGACAAAGACATTTAAATCTTTAATACCAAATAACATTGCTATATAGTGCATGATATCACTTCGAGAAGAGTTATATTAAAAAATATATATCGAAGCAGAGTTCCACAAAGTGGAAACGTACGTCCCAAAATTCACTCCATTTCGTCGGATATTAGTCATTATTTGCACAATAAACCTGAAATCGGATTAAGAATATATATGGGAGCTATATCCAAATCTTAGCCGTTCTCGATAAAATTTGGCAAAGGTATTTCCGAGCTCTAAAAGCTATCTGGTACCAATATAATTGTTGTCGAATGCATATTACGCATTTGAAAGACTTAAAATCCCAAATTGAAACATAGTATATATTGGAGCTATAGCTATACCTGAACCGATTTTCACCCAATTTACTTGCTTCTAGACTTAATTCGGTGGGATTTACCAAAATTCAAGTCATTTGGACTGATATTGGCCATTCAGTGCAAATAACCCGAAATTGGTTTAAGATATATATGGGAGCTATGTCTAAATCTGATCCGATTATTGCCAATTTCAATAGGGTTCGTCCTTGGGCCAAACAAAATATTTGGAAAACTTCATCTCAATCGGATAATAAAAGCGACCTTCATTTTGTTCACAAGAATACATGGACGGATGGATGGACGGATCCTCAAAAGTAATTATGGGTCTATTTCGCTTCCTTCAGCATGTTACAAAAAAATGCACAAAGACATAATACCCTTACCACTATGTGGTGTAAGGCATAAAAAATCACAAGTCCTACTGGTCTGGAGTTTTGATTAACATCTCTCGATTTTAGGACTCCTAAGAAATAAACGGAAGACACATTATTTCCTCATTGATGATAAAACCAAAACCAAATCAGCCGAAATATGTCCCTAAAACTTGGCATTCCCAAAATTTGTTTCAAAACTGGATCTGGCATTTAACCATCAGTTGCCTAAGATATCAAGTTAATGTGTCATGTCTGTTTATGTTTCTGTCCTTTTTTTCTCTGAAGGAACGTAAAAAGCTTTCTTTTTTGGGTTTGATAAGCATATATCATGCTTGATTTCTAATAGAAGTAAATGTACGATAATGACATGATGATAGGGATGGATGACGCAGGGGAATTTGACGTGCCCTCTTATTGTCCATATCATCTGAAAACCCAAACAAGCGATTTAAATTTGAAATGAAACTGTACTTAAAAATATTATTTTTTGCTTATCTCCTTTCCATTGTTTAATAATTTGGCAAATATTCTAGAAATTTGTCTATGGCTGTACACAAAGCAAGAAGATTATTGCTTTGTACCTCCTAAAATTATTTGCAAACAACAATGTGGAATAAATTGCAGATAACGATGGTACCTATGTGGAATGAAAAATTATTAAAAACACAGCTAAGATTGCTAAATTTCATGAAGTTGTGTATATTGCCATTCGAAAATATTCACGTGAATAGTTAAAAAGACTTTTTACTTTTTAATCGCCAAACTTGTAGATTCTTGTAGGTACTGGAACAGACCACTTATTTTGCTAACACATGGAGCAATAGTTTTCCGAATTTCGATATTTTTCCAACCTTAATATGTTGTTATGCATATCTAAACATATTCGATATGTTCCAAAACGTCAAGAATGTTAAAAACTTTACTATGATTAACGATTTTTCCTTTATGATATTAAAAAGGCCAAGCTTATATTTTCTTGTGGTTATTTCTGAAACATTAACATTAAAATTATAAATTTTTAAACTAAAATAATTTTCAAGTTTAATGAAAAAATCCATATAACACAAAAATGTCTCGCACATACGGTTTATTTCCGTTTTCAGTGTCAAATTTCTACATTCAAAACTTTCAGTATAATGCCATGTTTACGTTAGAATTTTTTGTAGGGTTAACCTACTTTGAGAGGATTTATTTGAAGTAAAAGTAATGGATTTGACAATTTAAATCCAAATCCAGTGGGTTAACCCTCATATATATAAACGTACTATAAGGTATCTTGCCTTTGGTTACTTTTGAACGGCCGTTAATGAAAAAAAAAACTGAAAAAAATAAACCAACAACCTTGATAAATAAATGGAAATACTTTGCCAAGCTGGTTTTATGACACTTGCCAATGAACGAAGGAGTGAGACAAAGTTCAAGTAACTGGAAGGTATACCAGACAAAAGACAATACACTCGAGAGCTTTCAACTTCAAGAATGATTCACCATAAACAAAAAGAAAAAAACAAAACCAATTTGTATTGGACACAAATTATAGTTGAAATACAACTCAAAACAGAAAAAAACACCATATCACGCTTGTAGTACAGTCTAGTCACGTGAAATTTGAACATACCAAACGTGCATATGTTTACCAAAATATGCTGACTTGTCTTTGTTGTGGTTTTGTTTTTATTTACACGACGTTTGGGTTTAAAAAGATATTGTGAAAGGTTACATTCGGATAACAGCCAACAATAATTTGTTGAAACAGCTTTTTTGTTGTAACCGAAAATGTGAATATAACTGACGTCTGTAAAAATAAGAATTTTAATATTTCGTTTGTTTTTAAAATATTAACCCACCTTACAGTTTTGTGCGTAATCACAATTAAGCAAAAAAAAAATAAAGCTTTTTTCAAAACAAATATTTTTATTTCCGTACAGTACAGCAGAATACAAAATTCATGGTCATTTCAGAGGAAACAGTCAACTTTTAGTAATGAGTTCATGTGGTTTTAAAACAATTCTAAGTGGCAAAATGTATGATTGATTACAAATAATAAAATATTATGTCGGAAATCCAATTGATAAGAAAATTCAAATTTTATTCTTTTATTTATTTATATGTTCCAGTACCTGCAAGAATCAACTACTTCTTCGATATCATAAAGGGAAAATCGAATATCGTAGCAAAAACTTTTACATTCTTCAGGTCTGAAACAAACCATTAATCTTCTATAGAAAATATTGACTACAACATTACTTTTAATGTTGCTTCAATGCGAGATTTTGTCGATTATAAAACTTTCGATGAAAATTTTTTACGATATCATAATTTTCTTTGAAATCAAATTGTAGTAAGATCGATTCAACCCATTTCAGGTTAATTGTGGACTAAATGGCCAATATCATTTCAAATGACCTGAATTTTGGCACAGCCGAACGAATTCAGTCTAGAATCAAGTACATTAAAGTTTTAGCTCCCATATATATGTTTTATCCGATTTGGTGTTCAAGTCCCTCACATACGTAATATGCATTCGACAACAATGATATTTGGTACCAGATATCTTATATAGAGCTCGAAAATACCTTTGCCAAAATTTATCGAGATCTGTTAATATTTGGATAAAACTCTCATATATCCTTAATCCGATTTCAGATTTATTATGCAAATAATGACTAATATCAGCCCAGATGGAGTCAATTTCGGGACCTACGTTTCCATTTGGTTGAACTCGGCTTTGATATTTTTTTATATAATTCTTCTTGAAATGATATCATGGACTCTCTAGCAATGTTATTTGGTATAAAAGATTAAAATGTCTCCGTCAAATTTAGTAAAAATCGATTCAGAATTGGATATGCCTGCCATATATAAGTTCCCTCTGGAACCAAACTATAACTGCTCTAAAGCCAAATGTTGATAGGTGGTATGATCTACTTCAAATAAAATCTTTTGTAACGAGTGCTCTACTAAATATGCATAGTGGTATCATATAGTCGGCCCGGCCCCGCCCGACCTTTCCTTACTGGTTTTATTTTTAAAAATTCCAAATAGAAACAACAAAGACCAGAAATTTCTTCCAATAAAAATCTTGACTAGTAACAACAAAGAAAAAAAATAACTTTTTTTTAAACAACACCCAGGTTTTTGTTATTTGTTGTTAAGATGAACGGAAAAAATATCAACAGAATTTACCGTATTCAACGTAAACAAGTTAATAAAAATGGCAAACAGCAACAGAGTAGCAAAAACAAATCGTTTGGCAAAACACATACGTCACACATGTGGTGGTGCGACGATGGTGTTGACATTAACTTAACAATAAGAAATGGAACGTAAACCGATAACACGAAATCAGTTCCTGTTGTAAGATGTTTTTTCGCAACTTTTTGCAAAGCAGAGCTGTTAATTGTTGTTTAACAGGTAAATATTTTTGTTTACCCATAAAGGTTTTTTTCAATCTTTATAAAGTTTAAATACAATAATTGAAAAAACATACAAACTGATATTCTGTATCAGTTCATGGACTTGTGTTTTTTTTTTAAATTCTTGGAATAAAATGGCTTTGGGTTATTTTCCAAACAACTTGTAAAGGAATTTTTTATTCCTCATAGACAACGACAATCTAAAAAATTTTGTTTTCAAATAAGAGACCTTGTAATGTTTTAAAAACAGTCTCCAGTTACAGACAACCAGCCAGTTGTAATGAAACATGTTTTGACTTTGCTTAAGATTTATCTCGTTTTGTTATGGTTTTCTTTAAAATAGTAAAATTTAATATCAAATAGGGGCAAATGAAACCAGTTGTATGTCAACCAGACGAATGGCGTTTGCCGTCTTGATACACACCATAAATAAATAAAGTCGTGTTACACGTGATGGAAGCGTGTTCTTCTATATTGCCAACATTCATATCGCTTTCATTTTAGCGTCTAATAGAAAATGATAACAATCGACGCGACAACACAAGTGTTTATTATCATTTACAACAGACTGGGATCATGAAAGATATTAAACCAATATAGTTGTTATTTGATGGCTTGTAAATTCGTTCATTTTCTGGGGGCGACATAAAATTATCGATACGGTTGAAAAACCACATTTTCAAAGCAATGAACCCATTATGACATATAATACCCATAATATTGCCTATTGGAAATACCTATGCGGCTTCTTTAAAAGATACTTTGATTTTGAATTGATTAGTGTTTATTACAAATTTCAATAAATTTCCGTTGTAAATTTACTTCTGGATGTTAAAATATTGACGAAAACAGTAAAGCGTGTTTCAGAACAAATCGATATGAAGAAACCAGACCAGTATATAGGAATGTCGAGGTTTTCAAAGTTAAATTAGGAACCAAGTAGATTTAGAAGAAATCTAGTTAATCATATTTTGTTTCTGATTATTGAGATAAACTTCAACTGTCAGGATATTAGCGGTAATTTAGATCAATGGACATACTAAAAATATATATTTGCCATTTTTATCCTGTTTATTCTATTTAATTTCTTGTTTTTATCTATAGGTTGGTTTATTCAGAATATTTTCGTTTTTAATCCTTCTCCCACTCTGCTATAAATATATTTGATTCAATACTTCTAGTAGATTAATTAGAAAAGCTGTCATTAATCGGCGAACGAGCTAATTAGTATTGTTTACGTTATGCACTTCACGAGTCCATAATAGGCCTTTCCCAGCTTTACGTAAATATAAAAAAATAATAACTTAATTCTATAATGAAAACGAATTTTATAAAACGACATTATTAACCCCATGTCTGTTATCAATATTCTAAAAAATATAGAAAATCTTTAATCAGTTCTAAGCGTCATAACTTGTACCCCCAAGGGATTTAACAACAACATTGCCATAACAAAATATTTATATTATTTTCTTTTAGGAAAATAGAAATAAATCAAAGGTTATCTTCACTAAATATGTCAAGTTAGTAACAAATATTCAAGAGGAAATACTTTTTGACAGATTATTCTCAGCACAGACAGTATCTAAATTTTTAAAACCACTTGTGGCTAAGTCACACCATGACGTTTAATTTCTTATCGCTTGCAGACGACATTCAAGAAATTGTATGAGGCTAGAAACTAAAAAAATAAAAGTGTACCCTCTCCATGGTACACTTTCCACGAACCTCATCATTTGTATCGCCTTATGTGCGAAAGAAATAAACCATTGAGTTTTAAGCAAAAGGAAAAATCCAATCCTCAACAATGGAAAATACCCACAGACGATTGTAGTGTACAGATGTTTGTTGTGATGCAATTGTCGCGTCACAACAAATAAAAACAACGACGACACAACGAAGTGGGTTGCACACATGCTAGCAAAAATAAAAATAAAAAATTATAGAAGAACATGACGATATAGTACAAGTCTTATGGGGTAGGCTAAATTTGATTGCCACACTTTGCAAATCTGCCAAGGACGTTGATATTAAACAAAATGATCCTATAAAGACTTTTTGATTGGAAAAATTATACCCCATTGACATGTATTATATGTTAGATGAAGCGACTTTAGGTCTTTTAAACTGGAAATTACAATGAGTCTGTATACAAAATATATTGAAATTCTTGAAACTCCATTTTTTTAAGGTGATCAGCAAAAATAAGTATTAATGCTTGTGAAATATTCACCGGAGGTCACATATAGAATATAATTTTGATTCCCATCAACTTCCAAGTCCAACTAGCACTATATATTCTATTCTATATACCATGTATTTAATTTTGATGAGTCCCATAAGTTACAAGTTATATTTCCAACTAATTTTACTTTAAGTTCAGTTACTTTCAATGCAATCCCATATTTGTTAGCATATGTTTTCTACATTAAAGATCTAGTATCTAGAATCTATTGGTTCCTAAACTGAGCCTTCTCAAATTATTTAACAATCTATAATAAAATAAATGAAAAAATACATATTTACTCATAGTTTTACATATATAACTATTATACCCAATTCCCGTGATTTTAACGATAAGACAATCTTCTGCAGTTTAAGTTCCTACTTTGATTTTCGCACACAAATTTCGGCTGTGACTTAAGACGCTTAAAGGATAAAATATTTAATAATATTTTCCAGTTTCATGTCTTGTACCTGTTTTCATAAACTCTTAATAAATGTTAAGAAACTTATCTAAATTAAAAAAATAGAATTATTTTTAAAAGATTCAGACATTAACAACGTCTCTCTTCAACTCACCTGCAAAACGAATTTTGATCAAATCCAAGGGATGCAATATCAACGTTGAGGTCACGCCACCCGAAATTCCAGCTACTAAATGCTCGTATTTAACATGTGTTGCCAGTTTGAATTTGCCATTTGTTGATGAGGCAGTCGCAGCCGCGGCGGCACCATTAGTTGGCTTTGCAGGACTCATGGCAGCAGACATTATAAATTGTACCACTCTGTTATTCGTAGTCGTTGTTGTTATAAAAAATGTATATGTATATAAATTTAGGAACTTTTGAAGATTATTTTTTAGGAAATTTTCCAAAAAATTTTGTGTTAGCAACACTGCCTGTTTATAGCTTTTTTATTATGCTTCTCTCTTTTTTCGTTGTAGTCTCTTCTAGACTTTAGCTATACACGTCTCGTCTGTCTTCTCCTTCTACTTCTTTGTACTGTGATAAATCGTGCTTGTGTATGGATTTGTTGTTGCAGTTCTGGGGGCAAGTTGTTGCTGTGTGGTATTTTTGCTCTTCGTATTTATTATTATTTTGTTACTATGCCTGTCTGCCCGTGCTGCGCCTTTGTATACTGCTTGCACTCTTCTCACTTCTTGTGCTTCGTTTGTGGATTGGCAAATGGAAAAAACTGTATCACGTTTTTTTTATAATTTTGGATAGAAATCAATTGTGCTAAATTTTGCTTTAAACTTTAATCACTCAACTCTGCTTTTCGTCTTTGTTCTAGTAGTAGTATGCGTGTGTGTGGAGATATATTTTTGTTGATTTTTAGGATGGGGTCATTGGATTTATTTGATCTAAGTTGTTGTAACTTTTGTTTTTCTTTGTTTTCTCTAAATTAAATTATATCTTTGGTATTCTTTTTGCGATTTTTTGTTGTCTGTGCAAATCAAAGATTGTCCCTTTTTGTTGTTGTATTTAGTAGACTCAATTGGACAAGTAGAGCGTGACTGAATTTGTTAGATTCAATAGTCCTACAACTGCTTCCTTTATTGTTTCTAACTAAATCTATATTTGTTTGGAAGCTATTGAAGCACATCTTCTTGTGGGAATTTCTTGATTAGTCACTTTTTTCTATTTATTTGAATTCAGCTGATTCGTTGTCTCTACACTCAAACACTGGCTGGCTGTAGTTGCGGCTGGCTTGCAAAATATTCAGATGATGAAATTTCCACAGACAAATGTATCACGTTTTTGCTCCAAATAAAAATTCGTTGCAGTTTTTTCTCTATTTTTGACAGATTCACTTCTCTTTGTTGTGCTCCAAACCAATTGTGTAACTATTATTCTGTTACAGCATATTTTATCATGATTTTCCTTATATAATTTATTCGATTTTGCATTGACGTTGCTTCGCTGTTGTTTCTTTATCCAAAAATCACTTTTACTTTGAATTTTTAACAATTTCTATACACTTTTTCTTTATTTAATTCGAGTGAGGTGAAAAATATGGGGTACGTCGCGAAAAAGCTTCGTTTAACGAGAACACGTCTTTGCCAGTTTGATGAACAATTTTGGAATGAACAGTTTTGATGAATAGGTGTTTATAAGGTCGACTCTTGACTATGCGATTATTGTAATCGATTAAACAAGATTATGTCGATTTTCGCTAACAAGCGTTGGTCCACATTTTACAGTGGTATACGCACTATTGATTTTGATTATATTCCGCTTAAAAAGAGAGACTTTTAGGCCAAATGCCTTTTTAATAAAGAAAAGATAGTAACTTTAAAGGATTCTTTTGCATTTCTCTAATTATCCCTAAATGATATTAAAAGGGAAAGAAAATTTAAAAGAGAGCACGGCAATAACGCGCTATCGATACACCGATTCCATGTAATTGGGATATCATTTATTGGTGATTGTCCAGTGTAGCACGAATTATTTTTATAACTTATTATAGCATATTTATAATTGATACAAAATATATGCTCTATTTCAGAACCTGTAATTTATGATGTAGAAAAAGTAGAACTAAATAGTACCAATATAATAATCTGGAACAAACAGATTACAGTTTTCTGTTCAAATAACTGCAACACTCCAGCTTCATTTAAGAAGCTGTAAGAATGTAAATCTTTACCAAACATGATCGATTTCTACTTTATGAAATTCAATAAAATATTACTAATTTGTAGGTTGTGGAACACAACTTTACTTCAATAAAAGTTTAAAAATTGTTAATATATTTTTTGACTATAGAAATAACGCAAGAATGTAAAAATGCTACAACGGTAACCGATTTATCCTTTAAAATGATGAAAATATATGTATGCTCTTTTCCAGAACTTTGAGAATGTACAAGTTTTTTTTTTATTATTTTACTCACCCTTATCGCGTAACAAATTTTCCAAAAAAAATGCACCATTCCCAAAAATGCAATCATGTACTTTTTTCACAAAAGTTCACAAAAAGAAATTATTATTATACTAATTTTGGGAATGGGGATTCACAATTAACATGCGAACAAATATTCGCAATTTCTACGTGATAAGGGTGATTATAAATTATTTTTACTATGATAAACGATTGAAAAAATGAAATCATTTTTATCTTTTATACCAAATAACATTGCTATAGAGTGTAGGATATCACTTCGAGAAGGATTATATTAAAAAATATATCTAAGCAGAGTTCCACAAAGTGGAAACGTACGTCCCAAAATTCACTACATTTCGTCGGATGTTAGCCATTATTTGCACAATAAACCTGAAATCGGATTATGAATATATATGGGAGCTTTATCCAAATCTTGGCCGTTCTCAATAAAATTTGGCAAAGGTATTTCCAAACTCTATAAGATATCTTGTACCAATATAATTGTTGTCGAATGCATATTACGAATGTGAGGCACTTAAATCCCCAAATCGGATGAAACAAAGTATATATTGGGGCTATAGCTATATTTGAACCGATTTTCACCCTATTTGATTTAGTTGCTTCTAGACTAAATTCCGTGGGATTTACCAAAATTCAAGTCATTTGGACTGATATTGGCCATTTAGTGCAAAATTAGCCCGAAATCGGTTATAGATATATGTGGGAGCTATATCTAAATTTGAACCGATTCTCACCAATTTCGTCCTTGGACCAAACAAATATTGTTTGGATAAATATGATCTCAATCGGATAATAAATGCGACCTGCATTTTGTTCACAAAAATACATGGACAGACGGACGTACAGATGGACTGACATGCATAAAGCGACTCAGTGATTCTATGAAAATCCACAAAATCCTTCTCCATGTAAGAAACAAATGCACAAAGACGTGGTATGTCTGTGGTATGTATGTGGTGTAGGGTATAAAAAATCACAAGTCTACTGGTCTGGGGTTTTGATTTAACATCTCTTGATTTTAGGATTCCTAAGAAGTAAACGAAAGACACATTAATTGCTCATTGATGAAGATAAAACCAAAACCAAGTCAGCGGAAATATGTCCCTGAAACTTGGCATTCCTAAAATTTATTTCAAAACTGGATCTGTCATTTAACCACCAGTTGCCCAAGATATCAAGATGATGCGTCATGTCTGTTTATGTTTTTGTCACTCCATTTTTTCGCCTTTTTCGCTAAAGGAACGTAAAAAGCTTTCTTTTTTTGGGTTTGATAAGCATATATCATGCTTGATTTCTAATAGAAGTAAATGTACGATAATGGCATGATGATAGGGATGGATGACGCAGTGAATTTTGACGTGCCCTCTTATTGTCCATATCATGCGAAAAACCAAACAAGCGATTTGAATTTGAAATGAAACTGTACTTAAAAATATTATTTTTTGCTTATCTCCTTTCCATTGTTTAATAATTTGGCAAATATTCTAGAAATTTGTCTATGGCTGTACACAAAGCAAGAAGATTACTGCTTTGTACCTCCTAAAATTATTTGCAAACAACAATGTGGAATAAATTGCAGATAACGATGGTACCTATGTGGAATGAAAAATTATTAAAAACACAGCTAAGATTGCTAAATTTCATGAAGTTGTGTATATTGCCATTCGAAAATATTCACGTGAATAGTTAAAAAGACTTTTTACTTTTTAATCGCCAAACTTGTAGATTCTTGTAGGTACTGGAACAGACCACTTATTTTGCTAACACATGGAGCAATAGTTTTCCGAATTTCGATATTTTTCCAACCTTAATATGTTGTTATGCATATCTAAACATATTCGATATGTTCCAAAACGTCAAGAATGTTAAAAACTTTACTATGATTAACGATTTTTCCTTTATGATATTAAAAAGGCCAAGCTTATATTTTCTTGTGGTTATTTCTGAAACATTAACATTAAAATTATAAATTTTTAAACTAAAATAATTTTCAAGTTTAATGAAAAAATCCATATAACACAAAAATGTCTCGCACATACGGTTTATTTCCGTTTTCAGTGTCAAATTTCTACATTCAAAACTTTCAGTATAATGCCATGTTTACGTTAGAATTTTTTGTAGGGTTAACCTACTTTGAGAGGATTTATTTGAAGTAAAAGTAATGGATTTGACAATTTAAATCCAAATCCAGTGGGTTAACCCTCATATATATAAACGTACTATAAGGTATCTTGCCTTTGGTTACTTTTGAACGGCCGTTAATGAAAAAAAAAACTGAAAAAAATAAACCAACAACCTTGATAAATAAATGGAAATACTTTGCCAAGCTGGTTTTATGACACTTGCCAATGAACGAAGGAGTGAGACAAAGTTCAAGTAACTGGAAGGTATACCAGACAAAAGACAATACACTCGAGAGCTTTCAACTTCAAGAATGATTCACCATAAACAAAAAGAAAAAAACAAAACCAATTTGTATTGGACACAAATTATAGTTGAAATACAACTCAAAACAGAAAAAAACACCATATCACGCTTGTAGTACAGTCTAGTCACGTGAAATTTGAACATACCAAACGTGCATATGTTTACCAAAATATGCTGACTTGTCTTTGTTGTGGTTTTGTTTTTATTTACACGACGTTTGGGTTTAAAAAGATATTGTGAAAGGTTACATTCGGATAACAGCCAACAATAATTTGTTGAAACAGCTTTTTTGTTGTAACCGAAAATGTGAATATAACTGACGTCTGTAAAAATAAGAATTTTAATATTTCGTTTGTTTTTAAAATATTAACCCACCTTACAGTTTTGTGCGTAATCACAATTAAGCAAAAAAAAAATAAAGCTTTTTTCAAAACAAATATTTTTATTTCCGTACAGTACAGCAGAATACAAAATTCATGGTCATTTCAGAGGAAACAGTCAACTTTTAGTAATGAGTTCATGTGGTTTTAAAACAATTCTAAGTGGCAAAATGTATGATTGATTACAAATAATAAAATATTATGTCGGAAATCCAATTGATAAGAAAATTCAAATTTTATTCTTTTATTTATTTATATGTTCCAGTACCTGCAAGAATCAACTACTTCTTCGATATCATAAAGGGAAAATCGAATATCGTAGCAAAAACTTTTACATTCTTCAGGTCTGAAACAAACCATTAATCTTCTATAGAAAATATTGACTACAACATTACTTTTAATGTTGCTTCAATGCGAGATTTTGTCGATTATAAAACTTTCGATGAAAATTTTTTACGATATCATAATTTTCTTTGAAATCAAATTGTAGTAAGATCGATTCAACCCATTTCAGGTTAATTGTGGACTAAATGGCCAATATCATTTCAAATGACCTGAATTTTGGCACAGCCGAACGAATTCAGTCTAGAATCAAGTACATTAAAGTTTTAGCTCCCATATATATGTTTTATCCGATTTGGTGTTCAAGTCCCTCACATACGTAATATGCATTCGACAACAATGATATTTGGTACCAGATATCTTATATAGAGCTCGAAAATACCTTTGCCAAAATTTATCGAGATCTGTTAATATTTGGATAAAACTCTCATATATATCCTTAATCCGATTTCAGATTTATTATGCAAATAATGACTAATATCAGCCCAGATGGAGTCAATTTCGGGACCTACGTTTCCATTTGGTTGAACTCGGCTTTGATATTTTTTTATATAATTCTTCTTGAAATGATATCATGGACTCTCTAGCAATGTTATTTGGTATAAAAGATTAAAATGTCTCCGTCAAATTTAGTAAAAATCGATTCAGAATTGGATATGCCTGCCATATATAAGTTCCCTCTGGAACCAAACTATAACTGCTCTAAAGCCAAATGTTGATAGGTGGTATGATCTACTTCAAATAAAATCTTTTGTAACGAGTGCTCTACTAAATATGCATAGTGGTATCATATAGTCGGCCCGGCCCCGCCCGACCTTTCCTTACTGGTTTTATTTTTAAAAATTCCAAATAGAAACAACAAAGACCAGAAATTTCTTCCAATAAAAATCTTGACTAGTAACAACAAAGAAAAAAAATAACTTTTTTTTAAACAACACCCAGGTTTTTGTTATTTGTTGTTAAGATGAACGGAAAAAATATCAACAGAATTTACCGTATTCAACGTAAACAAGTTAATAAAAATGGCAAACAGCAACAGAGTAGCAAAAACAAATCGTTTGGCAAAACACATACGTCACACATGTGGTGGTGCGACGATGGTGTTGACATTAACTTAACAATAAGAAATGGAACGTAAACCGATAACACGAAATCAGTTCCTGTTGTAAGATGTTTTTTCGCAACTTTTTGCAAAGCAGAGCTGTTAATTGTTGTTTAACAGGTAAATATTTTTGTTTACCCATAAAGGTTTTTTTCAATCTTTATAAAGTTTAAATACAATAATTGAAAAAACATACAAACTGATATTCTGTATCAGTTCATGGACTTGTGTTTTTTTTTTAAATTCTTGGAATAAAATGGCTTTGGGTTATTTTCCAAACAACTTGTAAAGGAATTTTTTATTCCTCATAGACAACGACAATCTAAAAAATTTTGTTTTCAAATAAGAGACCTTGTAATGTTTTAAAAACAGTCTCCAGTTACAGACAACCAGCCAGTTGTAATGAAACATGTTTTGACTTTGCTTAAGATTTATCTCGTTTTGTTATGGTTTTCTTTAAAATAGTAAAATTTAATATCAAATAGGGGCAAATGAAACCAGTTGTATGTCAACCAGACGAATGGCGTTTGCCGTCTTGATACACACCATAAATAAATAAAGTCGTGTTACACGTGATGGAAGCGTGTTCTTCTATATTGCCAACATTCATATCGCTTTCATTTTAGCGTCTAATAGAAAATGATAACAATCGACGCGACAACACAAGTGTTTATTATCATTTACAACAGACTGGGATCATGAAAGATATTAAACCAATATAGTTGTTATTTGATGGCTTGTAAATTCGTTCATTTTCTGGGGGCGACATAAAATTATCGATACGGTTGAAAAACCACATTTTCAAAGCAATGAACCCATTATGACATATACAGGCATGTCACAGAAGTTTTACGAAATCGATTTATTTCACCTTTTCCAAATCGTTACGATTTGCTTTTGCTTCTTCAGCACTTGTACGTTTTGACTAATCCGGAAAAAAAATCATTTCACATTTTTGAAATAAAAATATGGTAACTCCATGAAAAAAAAAAGTCGTAAACAAATTATTGACAATTAAAAAAGGAGTTTAAATTGTTTTTTATAATATAAACACCAAAAGTAAAAATGCCAGGGGCTTCAATACTTGCTGTAATGGATGAAGAAATAAATCAGCGGTCTACTGAAAAAAATCGTCGCCGGCCATTGAAGAACGCATCAGATCCTTTATCTCACTCAAATTTAGAGTAAGGATCCACCAGTAATGAGTTATTTTCAAATTTATTTTAATAATAATTTATTTCTACAGATTTATAACTTATTATCGGCTAAATAAAGAAGCTTTTGTTTTAGTTTTGGAAAAAATTTCTCCCCACCTCAAACGTTCCAATATACCGGCTATTATCCAGCTTGCAACAACGCTTAGGTTTTTGGCTACGGGTGCATTTCAAGGAGTTATAGGTAGAGATATGGTGCTAAGCCTTGGGAGAAGTACAGTTTCTACAATTATGTGGAGAGTTATTAATGCAATTGAAGCTGAAATTTGTCCACATTGGATCAAATTAAGAATGTCTTCCGAAGAAAAAAGAAAGTCGAAATTGTACTTTTTTGAAAATTATGAAATTCCAGGAATTGTAGGATGCATTGACGGAACTCACGTTAGAATGGTTAAAACTTCCGAAGACGAATCCTTTTTTGACTGAAGCGCTCTGTCTCAAACCAAACAATTAATTGTTTTTTTTTTTTGTTTTTCCCCTTTCTTGCTTTTTGGTCTGTCAGTTGTACATTTCTACACCTTCTTCTTCAACACATATGGCAATAATTCAACAATACAAGTCTGCCGTTCATTTCTGCATATTTTTTTGCGTTTTCATCATGGATTAGAAAAATAATAGATTTTTGGAAAAATAAATTCCAAAAACATGTCCATTCTAAGAGAATTTGGTTAATACAATATTTTCTGTTAAATGTATGTGTCTTCTGTTTATTTTTTACGTTAAAATCACTAAACATTTCAATTTCACCCTGCTTTTTGAAAGTGATATCAAAACGCAAAATTTTTGCGTTTTCCGTTTTTTAGAGAAGCTAAAACCGTTTTCGTTTTCACTCTTGAACGATTTTACATTCTGTGACATGCCTGATAATACCCATAATATTGCCTATTGGAAATACCTATGCGGCTTCTTTAAAAGATACTTTGATTTTGAATTGATTAGTGTTTATTACAAATTTCAATAAATTTCCGTTGTAAATTTACTTCCGGATGTTAAAATATTGACGAAAACAGTAAAGCGTGTTTCAGAACAAATCGATATGAAGAAACCAGACCAGTATATAGGAATGTCGAGGTTTTCAAAGTTAAATTAGGAACCAAGTAGATTTAGAAGAAATCTAGTTAATCATATTTTGTTTCTGATTATTGAGATAAACTTCAACTGTCAGGATATTAGCGGTAATTTAGATCAATGGACATACTAAAAATATATATTTGCCATTTTTATCCTGTTTATTCTATTTAATTTCTTGTTTTTATCTATAGGTTGGTTTATTCAGAATATTTTCGTTTTTAATCCTTCTCCCACTCTGCTATAAATATATTTGATTCAATACTTCTAGTAGATTAATTAGAAAAGTTTAAATTCACTCTCTGTCATTAATCGGCGAACGAGCTAATTAGTATTGTTTACGTTATGCACTTCACGAGTCCATAATAGGCCTTTCCCAGCTTTACGTAAATATAAAAAAATAATAACTTAATTCTATAATGAAAACGAATTTTATAAAACGACATTATTAACCCCATGTCTGTTATCAATATTCTAAAAAATATAGAAAATCTTTAATCAGTTCTAAGCGTCATAACTTGTACCCCCAAGGGATTTAACAACAACATTGCCATAACAAAATATTTATATTATTTTCTTTTAGGAAAATAGAAATAAATCAAAGGTTATCTTCACTAAATATGTCAAGTTAGTAACAAATATTCAAGAGGAAATACTTTTTGACAGATTATTCTCAGCACAGACAGTATCTAAATTTTTAAAACCACTTGTGGCTAAGTCACACCATGACGTTTAATTTCTTATCGCTTGCAGACGACATTCAAGAAATTGTATGAGGCTAGAAACTAAAAAAATAAAAGTGTACCCTCTCCATGGTACACTTTCCACGAACCTCATCATTTGTATCGCCTTATGTGCGAAAGAAATAAACCATTGAGTTTTAAGCAAAAGGAAAAATCCAATCCTCAACAATGGAAAATACCCACAGACGATTGTAGTGTACAGATGTTTGTTGTGATGCAATTGTCGCGTCACAACAAATAAAAACAACGACGACACAACGAAGTGGGTTGCACACATGCTAGCAAAAATAAAAATAAAAAATTATAGAAGAACATGACGATATAGTACAAGTCTTATGGGGTAGGCTAAATTTGATTGCCACACTTTGCAAATCTGCCAAGGACGTTGATATTAAACAAAATGATCCTATAAAGACTTTTTGATTGGAAAAATTATACCCCATTGACATGTATTATATGTTAGATGAAGCGACTTTAGGTCTTTTAAACTGGAAATTACAATGAGTCTGTATACAAAATATATTGAAATTCTTGAAACTCCATTTTTTTAAGGTGATCAGCAAAAATAAGTATTAATGCTTGTGAAATATTCACCGGAGGTCACATATAGAATATAATTTTGATTCCCATCAACTTCCAAGTCCAACTAGCACTATATATTCTATTCTATATACCATGTATTTAATTTTGATGAGTCCCATAAGTTACAAGTTATATTTCCAACTAATTTTACTTTAAGTTCAGTTACTTTCAATGCAATCCCATATTTGTTAGCATATGTTTTCTACATTAAAGATCTAGTATCTAGAATCTATTGGTTCCTAAACTGAGCCTTCTCAAATTATTTAACAATCTATAATAAAATAAATGAAAAAATACATATTTACTCATAGTTTTACATATATAACTATTATACCCAATTCCCGTGATTTTAACGATAAGACAATCTTCTGCAGTTTAAGTTCCTACTTTGATTTTCGCACACAAATTTCGGCTGTGACTTAAGACGCTTAAAGGATAAAATATTTAATAATATTTTCCAGTTTCATGTCTTGTACCTGTTTTCATAAACTCTTAATAAATGTTAAGAAACTTATCTAAATTAAAAAAATAGAATTATTTTTAAAAGATTCAGACATTAACAACGTCTCTCTTCAACTCACCTGCAAAACGAATTTTGATCAAATCCAAGGGATGCAATATCAACGTTGAGGTCACGCCACCCGAAATTCCAGCTACTAAATGCTCGTATTTAACATGTGTTGCCAGTTTGAATTTGCCATTTGTTGATGAGGCAGTCGCAGCCGCGGCGGCACCATTAGTTGGCTTTGCAGGACTCATGGCAGCAGACATTATAAATTGTACCACTCTGTTATTCGTAGTCGTTGTTGTTATAAAAAATGTATATGTATATAAATTTAGGAACTTTTGAAGATTATTTTTTAGGAAATTTTCCAAAAAATTTTGTGTTAGCAACACTGCCTGTTTATAGCTTTTTTATTATGCTTCTCTCTTTTTTCGTTGTAGTCTCTTCTAGACTTTAGCTATACACGTCTCGTCTGTCTTCTCCTTCTACTTCTTTGTACTGTGATAAATCGTGCTTGTGTATGGATTTGTTGTTGCAGTTCTGGGGGCAAGTTGTTGCTGTGTGGTATTTTTGCTCTTCGTATTTATTATTATTTTGTTACTATGCCTGTCTGCCCGTGCTGCGCCTTTGTATACTGCTTGCACTCTTCTCACTTCTTGTGCTTCGTTTGTGGATTGGCAAATGGAAAAAACTGTATCACGTTTTTTTTATAATTTTGGATAGAAATCAATTGTGCTAAATTTTGCTTTAAACTTTAATCACTCAACTCTGCTTTTCGTCTTTGTTCTAGTAGTAGTATGCGTGTGTGTGGAGATATATTTTTGTTGATTTTTAGGATGGGGTCATTGGATTTATTTGATCTAAGTTGTTGTAACTTTTGTTTTTCTTTGTTTTCTCTAAATTAAATTATATCTTTGGTATTCTTTTTGCGATTTTTTGTTGTCTGTGCAAATCAAAGATTGTCCCTTTTTGTTGTTGTATTTAGTAGACTCAATTGGACAAGTAGAGCGTGACTGAATTTGTTAGATTCAATAGTCCTACAACTGCTTCCTTTATTGTTTCTAACTAAATCTATATTTGTTTGGAAGCTATTGAAGCACATCTTCTTGTGGGAATTTCTTGATTAGTCACTTTTTTCTATTTATTTGAATTCAGCTGATTCGTTGTCTCTACACTCAAACACTGGCTGGCTGTAGTTGCGGCTGGCTTGCAAAATATTCAGATGATGAAATTTCCACAGACAAATGTATCACGTTTTTGCTCCAAATAAAAATTCGTTGCAGTTTTTTCTCTATTTTTGACAGATTCACTTCTCTTTGTTGTGCTCCAAACCAATTGTGTAACTATTATTCTGTTACAGCATATTTTATCATGATTTTCCTTATATAATTTATTCGATTTTGCATTGACGTTGCTTCGCTGTTGTTTCTTTATCCAAAAATCACTTTTACTTTGAATTTTTAACAATTTCTATACACTTTTTCTTTATTTAATTCGAGTGAGGTGAAAAATATGGGGTACGTCGCGAAAAAGCTTCGTTTAACGAGAACACGTCTTTGCCAGTTTGATGAACAATTTTGGAATGAACAGTTTTGATGAATAGGTGTTTATAAGGTCGACTCTTGACTATGCGATTATTGTAATCGATTAAACAAGATTATGTCGATTTTCGCTAACAAGCGTTGGTCCACATTTTACAGTGGTATACGCACTATTGATTTTGATTATATTCCGCTTAAAAAGAGAGACTTTTAGGCCAAATGCCTTTTTAATAAAGAAAAGATAGTAACTTTAAAGGATTCTTTTGCATTTCTCTAATTATCCCTAAATGATATTAAAAGGGAAAGAAAATTTAAAAGAGAGCACGGCAATAACGCGCTATCGATACACCGATTCCATGTAATTGGGATATCATTTATTGGTGATTGTCCAGTGTAGCACGAATTATTTTTATAACTTATTATAGCATATTTATAATTGATACAAAATATATGCTCTATTTCAGAACCTGTAATTTATGATGTAGAAAAAGTAGAACTAAATAGTACCAATATAATAATCTGGAACAAACAGATTACAGTTTTCTGTTCAAATAACTGCAACACTCCAGCTTCATTTAAGAAGCTGTAAGAATGTAAATCTTTACCAAACATGATCGATTTCTACTTTATGAAATTCAATAAAATATTACTAATTTGTAGGTTGTGGAACACAACTTTACTTCAATAAAAGTTTAAAAATTGTTAATATATTTTTTGACTATAGAAATAACGCAAGAATGTAAAAATGCTACAACGGTAACCGATTTATCCTTTAAAATGATGAAAATATATGTATGCTCTTTTCCAGAACTTTGAGAATGTACAAGTTTTTTTTTATTATTTTACTCACCCTTATCGCGTAACAAATTTTCCAAAAAAAATGCACCATTCCCAAAAATGCAATCATGTACTTTTTTCACAAAAGTTCACAAAAAGAAATTATTATTATACTAATTTTGGGAATGGGGATTCACAATTAACATGCGAACAAATATTCGCAATTTCTACGTGATAAGGGTGATTATAAATTATTTTTACTATGATAAACGATTGAAAAAATGAAATCAAGTAGATTCTTGCAGTTTCTATAACAAAGGATTAGATAGTTGCAGGTTCTCGAACAGAACTTTTGTTATAAATCATCGATACAAGGAAAGAGCGCGCCAGTTTCAAAATAATCTATATACGAATACCAAGTACCTCAACTATTTAGGGATATCATTCATAAGTGATTGTTCATAGTTCTTCTTCTTATTTTCATAAAAAAATAAATTTTGCAATAGAAAAGATCCTGCGTCTTTTCGTTTATTTAAAAGTTAAGGTACGAATAACAAAGAAAATAATAAATATTACCCAATTGTAGAAATATTTTCTCGTTTTTTATCACTTCCTCAATAGTTACGTTTTAACGGAAACACTCAAAAACGTAGTTGAAATAGGTCGTACTGCCAAAGTAACCATTGACCATTGTATTATCCTATCATTTTACAACACTCATATTGTAAGATGCATTACAACATAAAACGATAGTAGACAACAAACACATAAGCAACAGAAATTCCTGAGCATAAATTAATAAAGATATGGAAAATATTTTAATGTTCAAATCAGATACAATGATGCAAACAAAAACCATACGCAATAGATCAGCTCCCATAAGGAAGTGGCAAAAGTACGAAGAAAGGACTTTGGTTGATTTCTTATTGAATAACACAAAGGATTTCGAGGTAGGTAAATGACAAATTTTAAAATCTTTCATTTTATTGTCATTCAATTATAGAAACCCACAGCCCAGACTTACTATCGGAAATTTATGGCCCAAAGTAAAATGGAAAACATTGAATGGAAACTAATACGAGCAAAAGTGCGAAATATGCGAATGGTATATGCCAAGGCTAAACGATGGAAGGACTCCGCAGAAGCCAGCAGGATGAGTGAAGCAAGCGTTAAAGGTGTGTGGTAAATTTTATTTAGCTGTCTGCATTGTTATACAAGCCTTCCCCTAAACATATATTATGCGACGTGGTATGAGTCCCATTTAAAATAGTATTGATTAATAGGGTGTTAAAGAAACGAACGGCAACAAATGCAAGCGAACAAGTAGGCCAAAATTGTGGGCTGTGATATCTGTTTATACTATATATATACTATCCAATCACCAAAATTCAAATCAGTATAAATCGTCAATTACGACAATGATTTATAGTATGGTAATACAGGGTTCAGAATAAAACCAAATACTGTATAAAAATCCCATAAATGTTATGGCAAAAATATATAAATGGACACGTATATGGCTAGATGTCTGTCTGAATTCCGTGCCAAAACTGATGCTCTGTTTGATCTTTATAATGCACAAATATCTGAGGTAAAGCGTGATGTGGTTGAGCTTAAAAAGGCCATAGTTGAGTTGAAGATGACAGTCTCTGAAGTTAAAAGTACGGCTTTGTTAGCAGAAAAGAAACTTGCTGATAGGATTTCTGAGCTTGAGTCTTTTAACAATGTGCTCCAGCGAAGGCTTAACAGAGCTGATATCATTATAAGAGGTTTGCCGGAAAATATTAAAGACCTCAGGAGCTTTGTTGTTAAAGTTGCTAATTTGTGTGGGTTGCAACTATCTCATGGCGACATGCAGCAGTGCTGTTACATATCTGAACGTAGAGCGGTTTTGGTGAAGTTTAATTCTATTCAGACAAGAGATTCCCTTATCCGCCGATTTGTTAAAAGAGGGAAGGTAACCCTAAAAGAAGTTATGGAGAATTGTCTATTGGAGTCCCGTATCTACTTAAATGATCATCTTGTTAAATCGGCATCTAGTCTTGTCTTTGCCTGCAGAGGCCTGCTCAAGAAGAAGAAGATTAAGAAATTCAGGTTGTTAAATAGTGATGAACCTCAAGTTGAGGTAATACTTGCTGATGGAAGTAAAACAATTTTTGAGCGACAAGAGCTTCTTGAATTTGCTCGTAGTTGTCCTCTGCAACCGGGTGGTGCTCCGTTGGTTGGTGATATGCTGCTGGGAGTGTAGTCATGTAATGTAAATATTAATTTTGTTTTGATCTCATTGGCAATTTAATTGTTTTCTTGATGCAAATTATTGCTTATTTGTTCTAAATAATCTTTCATATTATTATTTATTATTTATTTTTTTTATTTATATATTTATATTTTTCAATTTTTAGTATAAGATGCGAAATCGAATTTACATAATTTTGCTCCCCAGCCCCTTTATTTGGTTTGATGTCACTTGATGATAATCTGGGACCCATAATTAATGACGCTCACTTTTTTAAACCCTTATTTGAGGGTTTGTCTGGTAAACTAACGTATGGCCACTTGAACTGCCAAAGTATTCGCCCATCGAGATTCAATAATAAAATTGATGAGCTTCGATCCTTGCTGGTTGGTAGTGGTATCAGCATTTTTGGTGTCACTGAATCTTGGCTTAATTCTGCAGTCTCATCGAAATCGTTGGTTGTTCCAGGATATAAGCTGGTGCGGAGTGATCGTGTTGGTCGTGTTGGTGGTGGGGTATGTCTCTATATTGGTAGTGGCATTCCTTATAAGGTAGTTTTTCGTTCAAATAATTTTGGTGTTTGTGAGTCGGTGTGTGTTGAGTTGAATATTGGGGCATTGGTTTTGCTTGTGGCGGTAGTATATCTTCCCCATGGCGATGTTCAGTCTTTCTGTGATGTACATGAGAGTTTGTTTGATCGCTTCTCTAATATCATTGTCCTTGGCGATTTTAACTGTAATTTATTTGTGTCTTCGAACTCTGTTTCGATGAGAGGATTATGCAGATCATTGGGGCTAACTATTGTGCATAACATGAAACCTACCCATTATGATTTGGCCCATAACTCTACCTCGTTAATTGATTTTTGCCTTACTAGTGATAATTTGTCCTTGGGTTTCTCGTCTCAGGGTCGATGTCCTGGTATATCACACCATGCCTTTGTTTTTGGTTCGCTTAACCTGCCTGTATTTTCAGAGGAGAGATTTATTGAGTATCGTAACTTTGGCCGAGCGGATTGGTTGGGCATTCTAAATTTCATATCCGATTTTGACTTCAACCCCTTATATTCCACTTCTGATGTGAATTGTCAACTTTCACTATTTGATTTGTTGTTTAACGCGCTATTGTCTTTCGTTCCTGTTTCTGTTCGTAAGGTCAACCCCAGGAATGATGCATGGTTGGAATCTGATGTGGTAAAATCGGCACGGATGTTTAGAGATCTTGCGTACTTTGAGTGGCGCAAGCGACCTATGGAGGGTAATAGAATAATATATTGTATGTATAGGAATCGTTGTAAGGCTGTGATGAGGAATGAGAGGCGTAAGTACTATAATGATTTCTTTGGTCGTATGAATAATAATCAGCTGTGGAAATCTCTAAAGTCGTTTGGTGTTTTGGGTAGTGATAATGAAGCTCCACCAATTGATGTCAATGCTGCTAATCATTATTTTTCCAGTGGGAATCCTGGTTTTGTGGGTGAGCGTGGTCAGTCTCTTTATAGTGAGGGTCATGTGGGAGATGATGTTTTTCGGTTTTATTGCATATTTTATTCTGATGTTGTAAGGTCATTAAATAAAGTTAAGTCGGGAGCTGTGGGGGTTGATGGTGTGCCAGTAAAGTTTTTTAAACTTATATTTCCATACATTTCCTGTCATTTCCTGCATTTTGTTAACTCGATTTTTATGACATCTACTTTTCCTCGGGCGTGGAAGGTTGCACGAATTGTTCCTGTGCCGAAAACTGGCGAATCATTTGATTTGCCGAATCTGCGTCCCATTAGCATTCTACCTGCTATGTCAAAAGTCGTTGAGCATATTATTAAAGAAGCGATTGTTGACTTCCTTGATGATCGTAGGCTATTGAGTAGTTCTCAGTTTGGTTTTCGGCGACGATGTAGTACGACCACGCACTTATTATATCTTACTGACATGATTAGAGATGTATTTAATTCATCTGATGTTGGGTTATTATTGGGCCTTGACTTGTCAAAGGCTTTTGATTCGATAAACCATTCCCTTTTACTTGACAAGCTGAGAGTTAAGTTTGGTTTTTCATCTTCTGCGTGTCGTTTAATGGCTTCATATTTGGAAGGTAGGTCTCAGTTTGTTTTTCATTTGGGTGTTTCGTCTGAAGTTTGTAGTGTCCAATGTGGAGTCCCGCAAGGTTCTGTACTGGGACCGTTGTTATTTATTATGTTCATTAATGACATTGTGCACTCAGTGGTTGATGACAGGTGTTGTCTGTTTTTGTATGCAGATGATATTCATGTTTTCTTCAGAGAGGCTGATATTGCTGGGTTGGAAGGATTGGTTAATTCTATTGTTTTGTCTCTTTCGTCGTGGATTTCGCTAAATGGCCTTATGATTAATTGGAATAAAACTAAAGCTATGCTGTTCAATGATCATGGTAATGGTGGTTCTCTTAATATTACTGTGGGTTCTGTGTTAGTGAAATTTGTTGATGAAATGAAATGTCTTGGTATTATAATTGATCGGAAGTTGGACTTTAAGAGACACATTGATTCCTTGCTTTGTCGCATAAGGTTTCAGCTGCGGAGGCTGTATTGTCTTAATGCTTATTTGCCTTGTCATGTTAGGAAGAGAGTGGTTGTATCCTTGCTGCTATCGCAGGTAAATTATTGTCTAGAGGTAGTCTCCGGTACTACTTCTTCTCAAATGCACCGTATCCGTAGGGCGGTAAATTCGATTGTTCGTTATGTGTATGGCTTGCGTCGTGGTGATCATGTTTCTTGTTTTGTTAATGATCTCCTGGGATTGCCATTTAGCAGCTACGTTGATCTTCGTATTCTTCAATTTCATTACAGTGTTATGTGCAATTTTGACTCGCCTCTTCGTGACAACTTTGTGTTTTGTAGATCATCTCGAAATCCTCAATTGTTGTGTCCAAGGTTTTCGTCCTCCATTGGTGAGAGATCATTTGTGGTTAGGGCGGTGAGATTGTGGAATCAGCTGCCTTTGGCCTTACGTACTTTTGCCCATACCAATTATCTGTTTAGGGTTAAAGTAATTGAATACCTTCGCCTAAATATGTAGGCTATGTTTTTGTAGTGGTTGCGTCGGTTTATTATGGGTTTTTCTTTTTGCTTTTCTTTTTGTTTGGGCTGGGGAGCCACTATATTATCTTCTTAATTTTATTTGTAGGGTATAATGTGAGTTACTATTTATACTCTGTTTTGTGAGTAATAAAATAGTTATCTCTTATTTTTAGCTCGTTTCTGCTACACTTTTTCACTGCTCTACTAGACTATTGTTTAGTTGGTGATGGTGAATCGAGGTGTAGGGTTCGAGCTTCACGTGAATTATTAAGATAAATTATTAGGTTTAATATGTTATTTGTTAAGTTTGAAATAAGGTAAATAAATGAAATGAAAAAAAAAAAAAAAAAAAAAAAAAAAAAAAAAAAAAAAAAAAAAAAAAAAAAAAAAAAAAAAAAAAAAAAAAAAAAAAAAAAAAAAAAAAAAAAAAAAAAAAAAAAAAAAAAAAAAAAAAAAAAAATGACCAGGCCGTGTGTAGTTATCATCCTAGAATAACTTCTCAGGGGATCCAAAAACAAATAATCTCTATTTTTAAATGAAATTAAATTTTCTTTCTTTATCTCCTCTACTTTACAGAAAACCTTTTAAAAATGTTTTACTTTTTCGAAGAATTTGAGGAACTTTTTGATGGTACAAATAAAAGTGAGTCCTCCCTTACGGCCGATGATTCGGTCAACAGTGATTACGTGAAAGAAGAAATTTCCATTGACAATTATCATTGTGACGATGATGATTATGCCAATGAGAACAATATAATGCCTGAAGTTGAAATGACAGCCTATGAAGAAGATTCCAATCCTATAGATCCTGTATGTAACGAAAATCATATCAAACCATCTGAAATCGCAAGATATTCATTTAAGGCTCACAATGAGGATGACAAAAGCACTATGATGAAATTACAGCTGGACTATTCCAATGGACTTCGAGAAAAAGAGCTAAAGTTACAACGTGATCGACTTGAATTTGAAAGAGAAAAACTCAAACAGGAGATGTTGATACGACAAAAAGAAATCGAAAGCCAAGAACGTTTGAAAATTTTAGAATTAGAAATGAAAGAGCGAATTGCAGTGTGTGATGTAAAAATGAGAGAGAACGTAGCCCTAAAGGCTCTGGATAGACGATTTGATTGCAATGAGTTATAAGTAGTATAAATATTAGTCTATTATAATTGCTAATATATGTATATTAGCAATGAAAAAAATGCTGGATAAAAACATATGTTTTGTCGGTAATGGAACTGCAATACGCAGATGAGAAGAAAGAAATCTTAAAGAAGAGTTCCAAGAATTTCATGTTTTCCCATCCTACAAAAAGATCTCTCTAAAATTGACCATAAGAAGACTGTTGGTAAAAATATCATAAGGTCTTCTAAAGACTAAATATTCTCGAAATTTACAGAAAACCCTTTGGAGGAGTTTTCGATTTGTAAAGTATTGCATTTTTATAATTTATTTAAATTTTAATTATCAAAAATTAAGGAATTACATTTGAATGTCTTCTATAGAAGTTTTTTTCGTCTATAAAACACCCTTAGTAGATGGACAGTTCTTGAGATCATTGGATGCTGATTTATTTTATGGGAATCTTTGGAGGGCATTTTATGTCAAGATGAGTCTTACAATACCATGCACTGTTTTGATTACTATTTATTGTTTTTTTTTTATGTTAAAGATGAAACCGGTAACTGACGAAGAATATTTAAAGCGTCCCTTGTATATTATTTTTTGTAAAGAAGAACTTTTTCAATGCTTGTCCATAGAAAAGATTTAAAAAGAGGGGCACGAGTCTTGTCTTTCAACTTTTAAAATATAAACATGCAATTTAATTATATAAACAAGTAAAAAAGCAGCTAAGTTCGGTCGGACCGACCTTTTAATACACTCCACCATTTGGAAGAAACTTGAAAAACTTCGAAAAACTTCCGGAAACTACCACTTATATGAAAACTGTTATATGGAGACTATACGAAGATGTGGACCAGCTTAAAATTTTTTGTCATATGCTGTAGCACCCATTACGAACTTCAAATACGAAATTTGAAATAATTCCGGTAAATAATATCGCTAAAATCATGAAAATACCGAATATCGGAAGGTACCGTTATATAGAAGCCGTAAGAAGACGTGAACCTGCATACGAAATTATTTTCCATAGGTTGTAGTTACCATTAAGATTTCCCAATACGAATTTTGAAACGATTCCGGTGATTAATGTTGCTGAAATCATCAAAATAACGAATATGGGAGCTACCGTTACATGGGGGCTATACGAAGACGTGGACCTGCATACAAAAATATTTGTCATAGACTGTAGTACCCATTACGAACTTTAAATATGGGATTTTAAATAATTCCGGTAAATACTGTCGCTAAAATCATGAAAATACCGAATATCTGGAGGTACCGTTATTTGGGGGCTATACGAAAACGTGGACCGACATGGCCCATTTACCAACTTAACCTGCCTACTGGTAAACTATGCATGTATGCAAAATTTTAGCCTTCTCTATTCGTTCGAAAGATAGCGTGATTACAACAGACAGACGGACATCGGACATCTTAGAATTTTACGCTGATTCAGAATTTATATACTTTGTAGGGTCTATTATAAATATTTCGAGGAGTTACAAAAGGAATGACAAAGTTAATTTACTCTCCATAGAATGGTGGAGGATATAAAAATGTATTTCTATAGAATATGAAAATTAACTTAAGATACAATAAATACTAAACATATTATATTAAAATTGTTAAATGAAAGACATTTGTACACAGATTCTTTTAAGCATAAATAAATTCATTTATTTTATCTCATAACTTTATTGCCCTTAAAAAGTTTTATTACAAAAAATTTAGATATATATTTAAATATGTTATCTTAAGTTAATTATTGTTTTTGAACTATAAAATATAATTGTTGTTCTTTTATAACAGTTATACTGTTGATTTTGACATATCAAAAAATATGGTATTATTGGTAGTATAGTTATAATGCCTGATTTAAATATTTAACGGTAGTCGTAATGCTACACTTGAAGTCGAATATTTAATTGAAATTTCAAATGAACTTTTGAGAATAGTTGAGTCAAATCATTGATTAAGTTTCTCTTCCATGCAATGAAATATTAATTAGAAAAATATCGCATTTTCCGTGTGCAAACATTGAGGTGAAATCTTTTCAGGTTTTAGTAAGATGTGTTTATAATTATTATTATTATTATATTATTATAAAGCATTGTGATAATAATTCCTTGTTTAGTTTTCAGTCAAATAGATTATTAGTATGACCTGAAATTATCTTAATTTTAATTAGTTTATGTTAGTTAAAGTTTCTATAATAATTTTTGTTAGAAATATAAAACACTTATATATTTAATATAGAAAAATATTATAAATTGTTAAAAGCTTAAGACAATACAGCAGCAGCAGATAAAAAAATGGGCGGATTTACAATAGTTTTAATGGTTAATCAGTATTAGAACAAGATAGATAAATGGTTTAGTACATATATAATTACTGATATGAATAGGATAATGGGAGTGAACTTAGGGAAGAAACAAAATAATATATATATGACTTCAATGTATGAAAATAATTTTGGTTTTGAAATTGTTCTAACAATTTAGGGAAAAATACGTGAACTATGAAGATTTTCCAACTAAACATTGACAATATGTACACTCCCGATCGTCTGCATAGCTTGGTTATTTTCAATATTTATTTGCAGAATCTATTTATTTTTCGGCTTCAGAGACCTTGTTACATAAGCCATTAAAAAGTTATACTTTTAGAAGACATTCTTTAAAATTAACTCTTGATTTGCTAAAAAATTGCAGAGGTGAATAGAATAGAAAAGTCCAATATTTCATGTAGTTGGTACTAATTTGTGTGATATTTTCGAAACGATTTGCTAAAAAGGATGCTTTTATTCATATATATTTTAGACTATTAAAGGTCTTGCCAACAACTTCAAATAATTCGATATTTTGGCATTAATTGATAAAATACATCCACACCAAGGATCCAAAATAGGTCCCCTTATAAAAGCAGTACTGGACTTTTGTGGGTTTTTGTATGATTTGGAATCGAAACAAAATTTTTGTTAAACCACTATTAATTTAAATTGTAATCAAAAATAGTATTTTCTTCCGTTTATTTAAATTTAATGAAATTAAATCCCCTCGCTCTGAAGGCAATAATTGTATATTTTAACATAATTTCTGATCTACAGAGCTGTAAACGTGGATTCCTCTACCCTTTCCCATAAAATTGAGTGGTATATGTAATTGTCATTCGTCATCCTCGAAATATTTGTTGGAGACCACATAGTATATATTTATCGCGCCTATACTTCTGTTGAATTCACGATCAAGCTCGCAATATTAAAATGAAAAATGTCAGTTTAACACCTTGCAAAGAATATTTAATTTATTTATTTAAAACACAACTATCCATGACTATTAGCCCCTACTAAAGTGGTACTGTACACATTTATCAATTAATCAGTACATGGCAAAAACTGTGGCATGTTTTTAGGCGCATTTATTCTCACTTGGGATTTATGGAGCGTACAAATGGACAACTCTTGGAACTAAGACTAGTGTGTAACTTAATTGAAAAGTCATTCAGAAAAACATGTGCATTTGAAGACATTCAGGCATGTCACAGAAGTTTTACGAAATCGATTTATTTCACCTTTTCCAAATCGTTACGATTTGCTTTTGCTTCTTCAGCACTCGTACGATTTGACTAATCCGGAAAAAAAATCATTTCACATTTTTGAAATAAAAATATGGTAACTCCATGAAAAAAAAGTCGTAAACAATTTATTGACAATTAAAAAAGGAGTTTAAATTGTTTTTTTATAATATAAACACCAAAAGTAAAAATGCCAGGGGCTTCAATACTTGCGAAGAAGACGAGATACCTGTTACAAATGAGGAAAATTCTGAAAACGACCAAAATATTGTGGACATCTACCCTGAAATAAATATGTACAACGTAGCCAAACGTATTAGAAATAATAGAATTTTACAAATTTTTTCCAAGTTTTGTAAATGAGAATTTTCCTCAACTAAAAGCGCATTTAGATCTTGCTTTGAGGGAGTTCTTGCCCGGGGTCTTTTTACTGCAGGCGTGGGTTTTGCTTTTGTTAGGCTGCCCGACACTTGTCTTATTGGTGTAGATGGCGGAGAACACGATAAGCTTTTATTTCTAAGTCGTTTTTGAATAGGTGTTCGCGAACGGTTTTCTTCCAATGTTGGTGTTCTTGGATCAATTGCCAATGTAGAAACATTTTTAAAAGCAGCTGGAATGCATGATCTTGGTCTATCTTTTTAATTTAAAATCGAAGTGGTCTGCTTTGAAGTTGAGGGTGAAAAATTAAGCTCTTCGTTTTCAGATTCACTTAAAACTAATTGACTTGATTTTCGAGTTCTTGGAATATGTGTAGATGATGACGAATCAAAGTTTTCTTTTTCAGAACAACTGAGGTCTAATTCACTTACAAAATCCGCAAAGCTTACTGCACCACCAACTCCATCGACACTTTTATACAATCCGCAAATTCTGATTAAACTGTTCTCGTGTTCATTGAAAACATATTGATTGATATCACCACCACCAGTTCCTCGCAAGTCCTTTTTATTATGGCACATCTTCGCCTTAACATTTCCTTTCCAATCTGACCAAACTTTCTTCCATTCTTTACAGGTTTTACTTGGTGGACCTGAACTATTCAGCAAAGCTGTCAATTCTGTCCATAGGGAATCAACAACAACCTTATCACCTTTTACATAGCCCCTGGCAATATCGTGATGTTTATCCATAAAATTGATAAAAATGTTGTCCTGTTTAACGTTTCGGTGTTTGCCCCTAAAGTATAAAATAAATTAAATAAACAGTTTTTGACGAAAATTTAGAAATATGTATGTAAATACTTACATTTTTGCCCGATTGACTGAAGCGCTCTGTCTCAAACCAAACAATTAATTGTTTTTTTTTTTTTGTTTTTCCCCTTCTTGCTTTTTGGTCTGTCAGTTGTACATTTCTACACCTTCTTCTTTAACACATATGACAATAATTCAACAATACAAGTCTGCCGTTCATTTCGGCATATTTTTTTGCGTTTTCATCATGGATTAGAAAAATAATAGATTTTTTGTAAAATAAATTCCAAAAACATGCTCATTCTAAGAGAATTTGGTTAATACAATATTTTCTGTTAAATGTATGTGTCTTCTGTTTATTTTTTACGTTAAAATCACTAAACATTTCAATTTCACCCTGCTTTTTGAAAGTGATATCAAAACGCAAAATTTTTGCGTTTTCCGTTTTTTAGAGAAGCTAAAACCGTTTTCGTTTTCACTCTTGAACGATTTTACATTCTGTGACATGCCTGATTGTGTGTGTTATAATATAAATAATAACTGCAAATTTCCGACTGGCTTAAAAAAGAAAACTATTCAAATGCAAGTCTGAATCGATACTTGGTTGCCAATAAACCATCTAAACGGCTCTGTTAAAAAAATTAATTTCTTTTTATACCCTCCACCATAGTATGGAGTGTATATTAAGTCTGTCATTCCATTTGTAACACCTCGAAACATATATTTTTGACCCCACAAAGTATATATTTTCTTGATCAGCATAAAATTCTATGTCGATTTAGCGATGTCCGTCCGTCTGTGGGAATCACTCTAGCTTCCAAACGAAATCAAGTAGATTGATAAAATTTTACTCAAATGTATATTATGTCTGCAGGACTTTTGGTATTGAAAATGGGACATGTAGGTCCACGTCTTTGTATAGCCCCCATACAACGGTATCTCCCGATATTCGATATTTTAGCGACATTATTCACCGGAATTGTTTCAAATTTGGTATTTGAAGTTCTTAATGGATACTACAGCCTAAGACAGAAAATTGTCTGTGCAGGTCTACGTCTTTGTAAAGCCCCCATATAACGACACCTCCCGATATTCGGTATTTTGATATTTTAAGCGAAATTATTCACAGGAATTTTTTCAAATTTGGTATTTGAAGCTCGTAACGAATTCTATGACAGAAAATTATTTGTGGGGGTCCACGTTTTGACATAGCACCCATATGTTGGTACCTCTCTATATTCGGTATTTTGATGATTTTAGCGATATTATTCACCGCAATTGTTTCAAATTTGGTATTTGATGTTCGTAATGAATGCTATGACAGGAGATTGTCTGTTCAGTTCCACGTCTTCGTATAGCCTCATATAACGGTACCTCCCGATATTCGGTATTTTGATGATTTTAGCTACACTATTCACCGATTTTTTTTAAGTTTCGCATTTGAATATTGTAATGGCTTATGACAAAAGTTACCTATACAGTCCCATGTCGTCGTATAGACCCTAATATAACAGCTACATTTAGTATTTTTAAGATTTTAACAGAATTTTTATTTGATGTTTTTAATTATTTTTATGGCCTCGCAATATGGTTACAGAGAGCATGTATGATTTATACGGCCCAGACGTAATTCATCAATAATTGTTTTAGACCCCTCCAACAAAATTCCTTGCAGCTCATTTGGAGTTGATCCAGTGGTGTCCGTTCGTTCGTCCGATTCGCACGATAACTGTCGAAGGGAGAATCCGATTTCGTCCATTGATACATACATTATTATCAAACTTAAATCGAGTTCGGAGATCGACACGTTCTAGTGTCTCCCTCACAAAAGAAAAGAAATTAAGAAAAATTTTTTTAAACCTTTGGAAATCCCAGTATCACTGATAGGCCAGGTGCGAAAATAGACAATATCGGCCAATCCTTTGAATACATCACCCACAAAGTGTCACTAATCACAGAGCTTATAAAATGTTAAGGAAGAGTCCGATTATATTAATATCTTAAAATTTTTACTAACTCTATATATATTTAGTGAAGCTATCATCGGTATAGAAAGCTATCGGCTAATTTTGTCGATGTTACGTTTTGGAATGATCATCCAGGTATTTCATTCCCATTTCACCTTATAAACAGCATGTTTTTGTAAAAAAAAGTTGCTTTCACTCGAATCGTTCGTGTTCAAATGTATTAGCTTTAAATTCGGTTTTTATAAATATTTTGGAAGTGTTTCCATAACCATTATTTTTTTTTTTTTAAACCCAAACCCAAAATGTATTTTCTTTTGATAAAACTCCAAACGAAAGGAAAAAATAATGTTACAAAAAACAGGCTGTAACTCATTTTAAATCCTATGTTATTTTGAAGAATTCTTACAGATAGCAGACATAGCCTCTGGGCAGTTTTTCAGTAGTTTTAAAAAACAATTTTGGAAATATAAAATTCCATTTTTTGTATTTTTAAAAATTAACAGTACATTTAGAATAGGTGCTTTTTTCTTTTCGGCATTGTGAAACCGTTAATGTTTCTGGATTTTCTCGATCCCCAAGTACAGTAGTTTAAGTATGGAATTAGAAAATACAAATCTAAATTAATGCAAAAAAAAATGGTACGAAAACACAAAAAATGTTAATATTTCAAAACCCTCTCTCTGCAATCAGAACAATAAATAAACAAAATTAATCTTTTTTTAGTTTCTGTTTTTTTTTCTTTGTGATTAACATTTAGGTTTTCTTTGTTGTTGTTGGTTGCTTTTTTTTTGTTTTCTTGCTGTTTTGTTTTTAATAATTAAAATTAATTTATAGAATTAATTAAAAAAAGAATACAAACACGAGAACTACAATTAAATAAAATAAACAATTTTTTTATAGAAAATTTTTTAAAAATTACATTGATAAAAAAGGAGAATAGGCGATTAGGCGGTGGCGGCAGATCAGGTTTTAGTTTTTTCTTTTTCTTGTAAATAGAAGAATAAATATTTATATAAAGTAAATAAAAAAAGAATTGAAATATAAAATAATACGAAAAAGCAATAATAATACAAACAATAGAGAAATATAATTATAAAATAAAAAAAAAAAATACAAAAAAATACATGAAATTATAAAAAATGATAATAATACGTTAAAAATTAAAATAATAATAATTTTATTTTGTTTTTATTCCATTCTTTGTTTTGCGTGACATTGTTGTGATTGTTTCTTTTTTTTTTTGTTTGTTTTATAATAATTATAATTATATGTTTATATATAAAAGATAAGAGGGGGCGGGCGGGAGAGTATGGTGTGGTGGTTCTGTGTTGTGTTTTTTTTTTTTTGGTGGTAAATGGTGGCACGAATGATCACGCGTGCGTTTCGTATTAAAATGATGAAGTAGTTTGTGTTTCTTTCCTTTCTTCGTTTGAAAACAAATTGTAGATTGTTTTTGACAGATTGTTAGATAGAGAGACAGACCGAGAGAATAAGAAAAATGTTGTTGTAGAAGGATGCAAATATGTTGTCCTGCTGTTGTTCTGTTGTGATTTTACACATCGTCTGACGCTGTTCCAGCTGCTGTTGTTGTACCAGCCGAGCCATTGGCATCTTCTTTAGTGCTATTGCTTTCGGCGGCATTGGCTTTGGTGTCATTGCTGCTGCTGGTGTTATTCGATTTGGCTGCAACACTATCGGTATTGTCCTCCTGTTCTCGTATCGTAGCCTCCAAGGCCCGTATACGATTCTCGTGCTTGACAATGATAGCCTTTAGTTTGCGTATTTCATCGGTTATGTCACGTAAGTCCTTTTCCTGGGATTTTCAGAGAGAAAAAAAAAAAAATTTGTAAAACATTTTCAAAATTGTATAGCATTGTTACTTACAGTTATTCCGCTAACCGGCGCCGAGCCACCAGAGCTGTTGTTGGCTGCACTACTGCCACCACCGCTGGATCCCAGTGTCGCACTGCTGGCACTCTTTGAGGTACCCACGGCCGCCTTATTCAGGATATTAGCCTTCTTTGATACGGACAGCGATTTGTTGGCCGATTGTGAGACATAGCCACCCTGTACAATAGAAACACGATCCTATTTAGATTTTTTAGTAATTCTGTTCCTAAAGGCGTTGCAGAACAAGCAAGCAACACAAAACACAACTAGCAATGAAGTAGACGACAAGGCGCTATCACACCACAGCACGGCACGGCACAGTACGTCACGTTACAATATGATGTTTTTCGTTTTAGTTTCGTTTTTAATTTCTGTCACCACAGGAGTTGAATGTTGAATGACAATGGATGGCAATGATCGTATGATATAATGGAATTGAAGGAGTGAGTAGTAAATGATAAAGCCATGTAGTTGTGTCCTTTTTTTGGGGGGTTATAAAGTGCAAAAAGATGGTATGCCATGAAAACAAATCGCAAAGCCTGACAAACAGCGAATGAAGTGCTCCAAACGAAAAAAGAAATTCATTTTCAAACGAGAAACTCATTCGCAAAAAACAACGATAACATCTTTGGTGATATAGTTTTTTTTTATAATTAGTTGTATTATTGGTTAATCAAATGAATGTTGCAGAAACATGAATAAATAAATAGAACAACATTGCCAAAAAAAAAAGAACGCAAGCATTTAACGAAGGGGAAATCATAGTTTCCCAAAATTAAAAATATTGGAATACATTGGAAAGCGGCCCTAATCTTGTTTTTTTTTTTAATATCTAAGTTACTAAGGGCCTGATTTTATATAACTTTTCTGCTAGGACTTTGATAAGAAGTTTTTTTTAATAGAAAATAACTGTTGGCTTCTTTAGCATGTAATTTTCCAGAAAAGAGTTATAGACGGCGTGAGTTTAGCATGTCGTTTCCTGTCGGCCATTAAAAAAAATTTTACATCATATATAAATTTTCGGCGTATTGTTTAAAAAAAATATTACGATATAAAAAATATTTGCTTTAAAAACCACGAAATAAAACCTTTTGATACGAAAACAAGACCATTTTTGGGGCGGCAAGGTTAAAGCGTTTAGATCTCCGAGTATTTTCGATTTACAGAAACAATTCTTCTGAATTGAGAATGCGAAAAAAATAATACAAAACTGGTTTATTCTCCATATATTATGCACGCCACTTTACGATAGAGGCTATATTAACTTTGTCATTCTGTTTGCTATTTCTCGAAACATTCATTGGAGACCCCATCATCCTTATTTGTGATCATCATACAATTCCGTCTATTATTCAATATTATCTTCTATATCTATAAAAGAGGAAAATGTTTGTATGTTTGTTTGTTTGTTTGTAATTTATGGACTCGAAAACCGCTGAATAGATTTTCCTGAAAATTTCCATATATACTGCAACATCGCCTGAAAGTAACATAGGCTATATACATTTTTGAATTTCCACTTGGAACTGGAGATATAGCATCAGAATCGGAGGTACCTCCCAAAAATTTAGATTTTATATGCACATATATATTGATTGGTTGAAGATACAGTCTCCAAATTTGGAATACGTAACGGAATTCGGAACAAAAATAAGTTTGCCAAATTATATTGTAATCGGTTCAGATTTGGATATAGCTTCCATATATATTTTCGACCGATTTCGTTCATTTGATGTCTCAAACACAATATGAAGGTTCGATTCCAATGAAACTTGGAATGTGTGACGGGATTTAATCCGAAAATAAATTTGTCAAATTATATTGAAATCGGTTCAGATTTGGATATAGCTCCCATATATATTTTCGGCCGATTTCAAGCATTTGATGCACCAAACACGCTATGTATCCCCAATTTCAATGAAATTTGAAACGTGTGATAGATTTTATCTAAAAAATTGATTTCCTAAATTATATTGAAATCGGTTCAGATTTGGATATAGCTCCCATATACATTTTCGGCCGATTTCATGTATTTGGTGGACCAAACACGGTATGTATTTCCAATTGTAATGAAATTTAAAATAAGTAACGGAATCGGGAGCCAAAATGAATTTGTCAAATTAAATTGAAATCGGTTCAGATTTGGATATAGCTCCCATATATATTTTCGACCGATTTCATGTATTTGATGCACCAAACGCGCTATGTATCTCTAATTTCAATGAAATTTGGAAGTTGTAGCGGAAATTAAAACAAATATACATTTGTCAAATTATATTAAAATCGGTTTAGATTTGGATATAGCTCTCATATATATTTTCGACCGATTTCATGTATTTTATGCACCAAACACGATATGTATGTTCGATTCCAAAGAAATTTGGAATATGTAACCGGATTTTGATTAGAAAATAAATTAGTCAAATTATATTAAAATCGGTTCAGATTTGGATATGAGTGGCTAAATTTGCATGAGTGGCTAAATTTGGTACAAAAATAAATTTGACAAATTATATTCAAATACGCTCAGATTTGATTATAGCTCCCATATATATACTAAGCCGATTTCACATATTTGATGCACCCAAAGCGAGAGAGACAAAATCCCGTTACATATTCCAAATTATATTGAAATCAGTTGAGGTTTGGATATAGCTAACATATATATTTCGGCCGATTTCATACATGTTATGCACCAAACATGATATATACGACCGATACCAATGAAATTCAGAATGTGTGACGGAATTTGACTACAATAATAAATGTGACAAATTAATTGGAAATTAGTTAAGATTTGGATAAAGCTCCCATATATATATATATTATCGGCCGATTTCACATATTTGACGCACCAATTTCAATGAAATATGAAAGGTGTGGCGGAGTTTGGTGTAAAAGTAATTTTTTTAAATTATATTTAAATCGGATCAGATTGGGATATGATTTTAATAACAACCATTGACCCACAACGCCTTAGGCTAACACTAAAAAACAACACAACAATTGATTTGAAATACGCTTATTACGGCGAAGTATGTTGCTATCTCGAATTCACTAATTGCAATAGTAATGCCACTCAACTTCAAAAGATTGCAGTTACATAAATAAATAAATCCGAAGGACAAACCCTTCGTGTATGTATGTCATGTTACTGCTTTTCTAATGGTTTTGGTTATTTACGCATAAAAGTAGTGCAATAATTTTTTCTTTAATTTTGAAATTTGTTTTTTTTTAACCAACATATATTCGTAAATAAAATTTTGAATGCATATAAAATTAAAAGGGGTAGCGAAGCGCACCGGGTTCAGCTAGTATAAGATAAATTAATGCAATTTGACATGACAGTATGTTTGGTATTGAAAATGAGCTATCATTTAGTCATTTTTATTTAATTTTCAATACCTTAAAATAATCTCCTTGGCAAAAGAAGAATCCTAGACTGAGATAACATTTTCTAACTGAACTTTAAAGCAAACCGCTGGCCGACACTTAATATGATACATAATATCAAACTTTTGGAAATGTTGGTCCAGTTTCAGGTGTCGGTTAGGCTTAAAACCGGATCACTTTGTGAAATAATGACAAGGATACCGACATCCCTCCCATTTTCGACTTTTGCACGGATGTTATGATCGTTCCAGAAATGACCTTGGCCTTGGAGGCTTTAGTATTAAGTATGAATTAAATAAAGAAAGAAAGAATAAATGAAATGTGGTTGTCGGACAGACCACATAGTCTTTCCATCTGCACGATGTCTCAAAGATGCAGGAGGGGGCATAGGCTGATGTGTTCTTCGTGTAGTTGGATCTTAGACCCTTGTATTAGCTTATTCCAAATTGAAATAGTTTGTTGAGTGACAAAAGGTGGGCCTTTAACTGACCACAAGTAATGTATTCCGAGGCCATTTCTAAAAAAATACCATTTCGCTGACTTGGGCGGTGAATCTGTCTTCAAAACAATTGTTGGACTTGCTGAGAAGATTACAATACCACGCGCAAAGAGTCTAGTAAGTTCATGGTTTTGACATTTTAATTGGACATTTTGAGAGTCATTTAACTGAGAGCCAGAAAATTTTGGATCAATCGGTTGGAGCATTTTATGACAAGAAATATAAAATATTAAATAAGTAGGGGCCCAAATCCAATTCAACCCCTAACGATCCTACCATGTAAGCGATTGTGCTGGTGTATGCTGCCCAATCATTAAAAGCTGAGATAAGTTCAATGGTAATCGTAGCGTTTGTCAGGCGGAAATTCTTGCAATTAAAAAGGCAGCCGAAATGGTAAGAGAGCTATGTAGTAGCATAACAGGACCATATAGATCGATAGAAAAGTGGTCCTCAAATCTATCAAGTGCCATTAAATCGAGAGCTGTTCTTGACTGCACGAAAGACCTCATTGAAAAACGTGAATTCATTCTGCTTCGTTGGGTTTCAAGACATCTCAACATAATGGTGTTTCAAATGAATTAGTTCGAGCTGGTTTACTGTCGATAGGTCTTGTGATTGATAGAAGAGTCAACCACGGATATGCTATTATGTCAGCTGCTTCAAAAAGTCTCTCATCGACGAAGCTTGTAAAAATGCCACTTGGAAACTGGTTGCAATGTATCTGGGCCTTCTGGGTGGTTATCTAAGAAAATGTGGTAGGCATATTGTCTGGCCACAGTAGTATCAGATATCCGATCTCAAAATGGGATAAAAGTGTTCCTGACCTTCTGGGTGGTTATCTAAAAAAACGTGGTAGGCATACTGTCTGGCCACAGTAGTATCAGATATCTGATCTCAAAATGGGATAAAAGTGTTCCTGACCTTCTGGGTGGTTAATTAAAAAAACGTGGTAGGCATACTGTCTGGCCACAGTAGTATCAGATATCTGATCTCAAAATGGGATAAAAGTGTTCCTGACCTTCTGGGTGGTTATCTAAGAAAACGTGGTAGGCATACTGTCTGGCCACAGTAGTATCAAATATCTGAACTCAAAAAGGGATAAAAGTGTTCCTGACTACTGAAGACCATGTCTCTTTTCATTCTCGTTTTGATCTCTTTTCTATCACCACTAAATGTTTTCTTTCTAGGATGAATACATAGAACCAAGGTCTTCCGAATAGCTCGAATCTCTCATCCAACTAACCATGGCAAAGTCATTCAAAATATCTAAAAGAAATCCTCTAAATGTCCCAAAAATATACTTTCCGACTTATTATGGGTTGTGTATTGTTAAGAGACCAGGGCACCGTCTGTCAGAGGGAGAAGGCGAAATTTTTTGATTGAATTCGTAATTCGTTGCATCTGCAATCCCAGACACAAAATCATATAGTAAAATTTGGCTTCTGTGCTCTAACTGATATTTTTTTAAAACTCTTTTCTAGGAAGGCTCAAGAGTATTGAATATTCACTCGAATAATTTAATTATACCCGGTCGAAATTAACACATCTTTTTAAGAGAGCAGTGATTTGTTGATCAACATCTGAACAGTCAATTGCGACACAAAAGATTGCAAATGTGTTTCGTAAACTTAATCAATATTAGAAAATGAAGAGAAATCTAAATTTTACATGACATGAAAAAAATCATGAAAAATGTAACCATTTAAGATTTTTAAAATTTAAAAATGAACCACAATTGCTACGGAATAGATTCTACTGATTTCATTCTAACGTCGAGAGATATAGTGGTGTTTTTCGGGTAAAAAAAAAAAAAAAAAGATATAGCCACATCTCCGGAACTTTCTCTATATCAACATCAAAGAGAAAAAGCCCCACATTGAAGAGATGATTTGAGCTTATATCTTTCCCACGATTGCTTGATAATGTGCACCCAGATTTTCAGTGGCGTTCATGGCCATATCATAGTGGTAGAGTCGTATGATGCCATGATTAATTTCTACGCCCTGGGTACTGTATTCCAATATTTGGGTAGCAATCATTGGCGGCATGTGACATTGGTAGACTTACTTTAAGCGAAAATGTTATGGGATCGGCATCTTCACCCATTATCCATTTTTCCGCAGTAATGGCAGCATCTTCGGCTAATGTGTCGGGATACAGATCCTCTTGGAAGAGATCCGATTTGCGGGGAACGGTCATTGAGATGACTTGGCACAGGCCGTTATTGTTGAGACGATAAAATTTGGCAATTTCACAGGTTGTGACGTCGCAGCCACGTTTTGGCATCATACCAATACCACGCTGGGGATCGGGTGTTTGGAAGGTGTTAATATAGTGGACAAATGGTGGTTCGGGGGTTACCTAAAAAAGAGAGAATTTTGGTTAGGAAGAGTATTTAAATTGTGGTAATTCCAGCTACTCACTTCAAAGTATCTGATCACAGAATCACCTTTACCGCACAGGTAAATTAAATTCGTATCGGGATCGTAGAGTGGGAACATTACACCGTTTGATGTATCCAATTCAACCATGACAATAGGATCGCTGAGGGCATCGGGGGCACGCAATGAATATTGACGTTCGGAGGAACGATTGAAACCGGTGGTAAAGATTAAACCGTGACGCAGGAATATGGCCCGTGTGGCCTTTGAGCCTTCATGGCAGACGGCCTCACTTTCCACCTCACCTGTGCGTGGATCGTAGATGCGAATCTTTTTATCTTTGCAGGTGGTAACCAGTTTGGAGCCATCCCAGTTGAAGCAGGCACTGTAGACAATGTCGGGGTGTGAGTCAATGTGTACCAAAATTTCACCGGTACCCACGTTCCAAATGACAACCTTAAAGCAGAGAGGGGAAGGAGGAAAAGAGTTTATATAAAGTTTAGGAATTTTATTTCACTGGCTTACCTGATTATCTGAACCTGCGGTCAGCAGAACATTTAGGGCGGAGGGATGCCACACGACTAAGCCAACACGACGTTGATGGAATACCAAATCTACAACGGGTTCAGTTAGGGTCCTCGACAAGCCTCCATCGGGAATTTGCCATACCTTGACAACACAATCTTCAGAGCCGGAGGCAATGACATTGTCATTGTGGGGACACCAGGCAATATCCAAGACGGGACCTTTGTGGCCACCTACCAATGGATGGTCGGCAGCAATGCGTCCCACCTAAAATGGAAAACAACAAAAAGAGAAAATTAATATATTTTTCAATGAAAAACACCCCCACAAAAACATGTCGCTGCTGCTGTGGGGGGACTTTTGCCAAATGTTTTGTGACATAAATAATTATTTCGGCTCGAGGATATTTTTAACACCGTCGCCGCAGCCGCCGCCAATGGAGGCGGCATCAAAAACATTGAGGTTGCCATTTTAAGAGCATCATAAATCTCAAAAGTGGAATAATTAAAAATAATTGTTTTGGCGATTTATAAGTCATCACAGCCGTATTTTATGTGTGCCGACTGACGACGACGACGACTTACTAGCCCAAAACGCCATTCATCCATCCTAATGGCCAAAATAAAATTTGAAAATAAAAAAATAATCGTTTCAATTGATTTGCTTATTATTTCATCTCATTCCATTTGACATCAAATTGCAAATGACATTCGCCAAGTTTTTGTTTGAATTCTGTTTTTTTTTTTTGCATTTTAAGATAATTTGTGACAGACGTTGTGAGTTATACACTTCGATATGCACATACATACATAATATATCCGCCGGATGTTTTAAAACATTTGGTCACAAAGTATATCGCCGAACGACGTAAGCGTGCGGTGTTGTGTAGCAATTGGAACAGGTGTTAGACCAAATAAAATAATAAAATTTGACAGCTTTTCGCTTGGCCATAGATTTGCAATTTAATGCATATTCGAACGAAATACTGGTTTGGACGTTTGACCAAAATGATGCAAGAAATGATTAAAAAAAACACTACAACAAAATCTAGCCACGATTTGAAGATAGGAAAATTGTAGTTTGTGGATTTTGGAAGGGCAAGCTAAGTTATGGGATAGTCAGAATGGAAATATCACATTCAAAGGCCGCCTGTGGGAGATCTATATTCTTAAAACGGTGTCTCTCATAAAATTTACCATTTTCGGTGCAATGAAGACTGCATCAACTAGGACACTTGAAATTAAGACTGCATAAGGAGGCCAACATTTCAGCAATGTTTTCCCTTTGTATTTAGCAAACTGGTAATTGTAGAACTCTGAAATTAGGGTCTATGGGTAAGAATGGAGTTCACTGTTGGCGTGGAGTGCAATAAGGCCGAACGGAAAGGTATTTAATATTATGTCAATATTAAATGCAATTCCGAAATTCAAAATTTGGATCACGGTTTATGTGTTTCGGGAGCTATAAGTATTGATTCTTCTACTTCAAGTATAAAATGATACTAAATGCTGTGTCATTATAGTTAGAGAACGTATAGAGCTGACATTTAAAATGGTTGTTGTTGTAACAGTGAAATGTATGTTCTGTTTTTAATAGACAGTTAATCCCATTCTTCTTCTATGTCTAAGTTTAGGAATACTGCTACCTTTATTGGCTGTAGCCAAAGATCCTCGGGACGGAGTTGGATATGCTTAGCTCGACAATTGAATAGATGCGGGCCTGTATCGCACGCTGGGCAGGCGTTCCGCACATCTTCGTCAATTCGTGCCCACTATGAATTTCGACGGCTGCACCGTCCTGAACGTAGTTGGACCAAAACTACCCTGATTTGCCAAGGCAGCCGACGTTCTTCAGCTGCAATGGATGGGAGTGGCTCCGAGGATGTCATTCATACTGTAATTGCTAACTACGTCTGCGACTGCATCAGTATGAATGCTATTAAAAACCGCTTGATAGGCCTCATGATCTAGAGGCTCTATCTCATACCGCTGGACCTCTCCCTCTCTGTCTCTAGATCATGCAGGTCCTTCCTGACACGCCTGGGTGGGGGAGCTCTGTCCACCATATGGTGGTTAGGAGGACTCCAACGATAACAAGCAAGTACTGCAACGAAAGCATATGATTATGCTGACGTAAGGGAAGAATCTTCGTCATCTCATCTAAATGGCAAGTTGTAAGTAATCGCTGACTTGTTTCGCATGTTATGACAAGATAAAAGTATTGAAAATTGTGACCATTTGTGGGTGAGGGACCGGAAGGGGTTCGCCGATATATATCATCTCCAGAACAGATCTTATGTTAACAGAAATGTGTGTATATGTGAAATTTGCAGAGAGTTGGATGCATATTTCGCTTTCTTTGAGCGTTTGGTTTTTCAAAATCTTGAACCCTGTGTGGGGAGGTACCAGAAGCAATCCGAAAAGAAGTCCGATCTGTCCCATATTTATAACAGATCTGGTGTTGATGGAAATATTGAGTTGTACAAAGTCTGAATGGAATCGGATGTTAATTTCGCATTTTATGAGCGCAATTGATATCCCAAATTTTGATTCTTTGTGGGGGATGTACCAGAAGGAATGTTTCGATCTCTACCATCTTTATAGCAGATCTTGTGTTGATAGAGATAGTGACATATGTCAAGTTCGAAGGGAATCGGATGTTCATTTCTCGTTTTATGAGCTTCATGAGTATTCAAAATGTTAGCCATTGTGGGGGAGGTACCAGAGGAAATGGACCGATATATCCCATCTTCACAGCCTATCTTGTGTTAGTAGAAATAATGAAATGTGTGAAATATGAAGAGAACCGGATGCTTACTTCGGATTTTATAATCGTTTTGTTTATTCAAAATATTGACCCTTTGTGAGGAAGGTAACTGAGGGAGTGGACCGATGTATTCCATCTTTACATCAGACCTTGGGTTAATAAAACTATTGTCATGTGTTTAATCGGACTCTTACATCACATTTTATAAGAGTTAAAATTATTAAAAAATTTTGAGCATGTTTGGGGTAGGTACTTGATGGAGTGGATTTTCTCACCTGACCTAGCACTGGTGCAAATATTAGTATTTGTAAATTTGGAGCAAAGTCTGATTATCCTTTCTTGCGGATATATATATATATATATATATATATATTTTTTTTTTTTTTTTTTTTTTTTTTTTCTCAACCAGGAACCTGAGATGATTTCGTATAAAATTGGATATCGATTTTCTTGTAATTTTGCCATACCAATATTTGTATCTATATTAGGTGAAGTATGAACATGGAATACCTTTGTCCTGGGGTCTCGAAAGAATTTTTTGTCTTTAAAAAAAAAGTTGAGCGAGGAAAAAATCGAGCCAAGGTGTCGACTGATTTTTTCTATAGAAAAGTCGAGCCAGTTGTCGACCGAATTTCTTCTATAGAAAAAATGTCAAGCCAGGGTCTTGAGTATTTTTTTATAGGAAATAATCAGATCCAGGTCCTTTGCGAATTTTTTTTCTTCCAGGGTCTTGGCGAATTTTTTTCTATAGCAAAATATCAGACTCAGGGTCTTAACGATTTTTTTCTACAGAAAAAAATCGACCTCGCGTTCTCTACCGAATTTTTTCTATAGAAAAAAATTTGAACAAGGTCTCGACCTAATTTTTTTCTATAGAGAAAAATCGACCCAGGTTCCCGGTTCTCGACGAATTTTTTGCTATAGACCAAAATTTTGAAGCCATTGTATATTTGGAAAACTTTGCAGGGGCCTTCTAGAGCTAAAAGACCTTCAAACTGTCTTCCATAGCAAGAAGACATAAAAAAGCTGTTCTATGGTTAGAAAACCTGAGTAAAATATCCTATGAATTTATTTTTTAAGTTTTTCTATAGTTTAAAGATCATCCAACGGGGATCTTTATTTAAGGGACCTATTGCGAACTAGACAGTCCAGAGAATTCTTCCTAATAAGTCATTTGTGACTAAATGACTTTCAACAGGTTTTTCATATTTGAATGTCCTTCTAGATATCTCCATATTTATTCTATGTGTACACTTTTTAGAGATCGTCCTCGGACTGACGACCTTATGTGGGTTCTCCGAAGTAGGCTCGATATTTTCTATAGATTTTTTTAGATTATCCGAAGTAGGAATAGCATTTTCGGTGTCCTAGGTTTTTTTTAAATATCTATATCTGGTACCTCAAGCACATTTTAATATTTTCAAAAAATTATCACATATCTCAAATAAAGTGAAAGAAATGCCAATATAGTCTAAACCTGGCACGCATCAATATTTATATCATATTTATTTATGTCCGATACGAAATGGGCAACATTGGCCCATTCCTTCGAAACCTACTCCATAGGGAGTCAACAATTTGAATAATCCTAACACAAGACAAAGTATATTTAAATAATCGAACATTGGCTGAGGGTACACATCTGTCGGCTAAACCGACTGATACTTTTTAAACTGTTTTTGGCTAATTTTACAGCTCCACACATAATTTGTTTTATAGACATACAATAAAACAAGCCAAAACTGTTCTATGACATACGATAACTCGAGAATTATTTGAAATTCAAAATTGAAATTCAAATATTGATTATTAGGTTTTTTTTGGCATAAATCGAATAAACCATGAAATTAAACCAATTGAGAATGGAAAAATAAATATAAGTCCTTTTAGGGCCTTTCTTGATCTTGAATACCATTAAAACATGTTCTGTTGCCAGGAAACCTTTCAATGGTTTATATAGGCAAAGTATCTACAGATATTTTATACATAGAACATCTTTGCATGCCTTCTACATGATCGTTAGAATATTGAAATTCATTACCTCCCCTCATTTACCTTTTTTGCCTCTACTGATTTAATTTCGAAAATAAACTGCCAATTACAATTTTCCAAAAATTTCCAAAATAAATTTGCAAAACTATATTAAAAACATGTACTTGGAAAAGAATTAGCATGTGTGTACGTTTTTATATTCATATTCGCCATAAGTTATATAAATGTTTACATTGATTCCAAAAAAAAAAAACAAACAAATATTTTATTTTATCGGAATAGGCAGATAGCCTGTTCCGAACAACAATTTTTTTTTTTTGATAATAAACAATGCGAAAAAAAGTTTCCGTTATAATTTTTCCCAAACATTTGGTATGAATTTCGTTTTTCATCGCATTCGGCGGTTTTTCACTTGTACGATGATCTCAGCTACAGCTACAAGAAGTAAAAGAAGAAGAAAAAGTGTGAAATAAATGTTCGCTCATTTTCATTTTTCAGTTTTTCAATTTTTTTGCGCGCGTTACCCCATTTTATTGGCCATTTGCCAGCGGAGAAAAGAAGAACACGGCAGCAAATAAAAAAAAGTATCCTCAAAATATACACATATATTTTATAACAAACGTATAAAACGACGTTTTTTTTGCTTCTCTTCACTTGACTATTTATAGATCATTTCTGTTTCATTTCCCAAAATAGTCACTAAACCGACAACGAACACTACGACTGCGAAGACGATGAACGGCTTCTTTTTTTCTTTCGATTTCAATTTTTTTCCTTCCTCTGCAGCAAGAGGAAAAAATAATGTAATTTTTGTTTTGGATACTTTCTGAGTGGGTTTGATTTTTGTTACGAAGGAGGTGTTGGGACTCTGACAATTTGGTGTGTGTGCGTGGAAATATTTGGAACATCAATATTTATTTATGTTTGTATTTTTTGGAATTATTTTTTTTTCAAATTTTCAGATTTGTGTTTAAAACAATTTTAGGATTGATTTTTTTCTAAAGAAATATTTTTCAAACGTTGTCATGGTTTCAAAATAGAATAGAGATTTCAATTTTACACTATTTGCCATTACATTTGCATCACCTTGAAATATTTGTCTGAGATCCTAACTTCTATAACCATAAAAGCGTAGTGAAATAACTGACTGATTGAGAATCAATGCTCAGATCAAACAACTGAAGCTAGAATCTTGAAATTTTCTACGAGAGTTAATCCCGGTGCGTAGGTTGGGTTATTGAAAATTCGTACTAAAAGAGTACGAAAAGTACTAAAATGTGCCAAAAAGTGTGTAGTTTGTAATTGACAAACGGAATGAACTAGACAATGAGAGTCACTGATGCAGGATAAATGTAGAAAAGGATTTTCGGCAATTCGAACTTTAAGGTTATGAAATGTTCTGAAATGGTACTCAAATAAAATGGACCATTTGGTATTATTTGAACGGATAGAGCTAAAAGCTTGAAATTCGGTATGGGAATCAATGTTGAAAAGTAAATTTGATGTATGTAGGTGGTTTTGGAAATGTGTGCCAATTGTACTAAATGGTACTAAATTTGAAACAGTTTGGTTTAGGGTGAAAATATGAAGCTGGAAATTTGAAATTTGGTATCCTGTTGGTGGCAGGTTTGTGATAAAGAGGAGGTTTTGGAAATGTATACTACAAGTGTACGAAAAGTACTAAATAGTACTATGTATGGTACAATTTGGTATTAGGTAAACAAACAAACTGCTTTAAATCTGAAATTTGGTATCAGGGTCGATGTTCATGTATATCCTGGACATATGGAGGTTGCTTCCGAAGTGTGTACTATATTTGTCGAAAAGTACTAAATGGTACTAAATTGGGTATTGGGTGAAAAGGTGGAGAAAAAATCGGAAATTTGATATTTAAATTACTGACTGAAAATGTGAAAACAGATAAAGCGGGAATTTTGAAATTTTTTATTGGGGTTCCTGTTGGTGCTTGGTTTATAAAAAAGGGGTGGTTTTGGTATTACGTGAAGGATTAGAGCTAAAGTCCTGAAATTTGATATTAAGGTTTCTTTCTGTTGGTATCTGAGGTTTGGCGGTGGTTTTGGAAAAATGTACTATAATTTTACGAAAAGTACTAATTGGTACTAAATTTGGTCTTGGTTAATAGGATAGAGTAAAAATTCTGAAATTCTTTACTTAGATAACTGTTGGTATCGGAGGTTGAGATTTGGAGGAGGTTTGAAAATGCTTATATTATATTGGTACGAAAAGTAGCAAATGGAACTATATTTGGTATTGGGTGAAGGGATAGAGTTGAAGTCCTGAAATATGATATTGAGGTCTCTGTTGGTATCTGACATTGAGATATGGAGGTGGTTTTGGAAAAATGTACTAAATTTTAAGAAAAGTATGAAATGGTACTAAATTTGGTATTGTTTAAAGGGATAGAGACAAAATTATGAAATTTAATGTTTGGATATCTGTTGGTATATGAGATGGAGATTTAGGAGGTGGGTTTGGAAATGCGTCTTATATTTGTACGAAATGTACTAAATGGTACTATATTTGGAATTTGGTGATGGAATCCTCTAATATATGGGATCAGGAATTGAGATATGGAGGTGATTTTGGAAATGTGTACTATAATTGTACGAAAAGTTTTAAATGGTACTAAATGCGGATTTGGGTGAAGGGATATATATACAATTTTGAATTTTTTTGTTTGGTAGAAGGTCCACCTTTATATAAAAGAGTTACAAGTAGTATGCTCGTTTCTGAAGCATTGTAACAACTATTGCATCCATAAATGCCCAACTCAACAACTCTCTTCAATCAATTGTTAGCCAGCAACTGAAAAACAACAAATCTTGGTAATAAATTTTGTTGGAGTACAATAACTTTCCGTTAACCAAAACAAAAACAAACCAACAACTAGGCATAGGCCAAAACACACAAGAATTAGAAAAAATAATTGTGACTTGAATAATTAATTTGGAAAATTTTCAAAAAAATAATTAAAAATAAAAAATTTCTTTCCATTAGAGAAAGGAACTTCTTTTACTTCGTGGACAACCATGGTGACATATGGTCGGTTGGAACGATTTACGACTTACCTTACTGTGTGGCAAAACGATGAAGGCACCGCCACCTGCTGACTCCACAATGATGGCCAAAAATTTCGGATTCACCGCACAGAAGGTGGAATCCCAACTGCTCTTGGAGACACGTATATTGTCGTAGCATTGTTCACGTTTCAAAGCCTGACCGTAGACGTGACGAAATTTTGAACTTCTGACAACGCGAAAAGACATTTTGTTTCCTAGTGTTCTTCTTCTTCTCTTTTACAGTTCGGCGGCTATTATCGCGCTTGTTGGTGTGACGACGACGACGATGATGATGTTAAAGGCGGCTGGTTGCTGATGGACGGTATTTGTGTAATTCTTCTTGTTTCTTGAGCGTCCGATTGAATTTTGAGTTGATTTGTTTTTTGTATTGTTTTTGTACTCAACAACAACAAAAATTAATAACAATTAAAATAGTAAAAATAATATGGTAACTGAAACGTGAAACGAAATAAGATTATTTTATTTATTTTCTTTAGAAAAAAAAGTATTAAAAGAGAAGAGAGAGAGAGTTACATAAAGTAAGAAAAGGAGTTAAGAGTGTGCTCTTTGAGATGTTAAATAGAAAAAGTGCCTGCTCATCGGGAAGAGAAATTAAAAAAGGCTGTTTGATAGCGCGTTTTCAAAGTGATTGCGATTTAATAAATTATGATTTCAACGGTAACATTTATTTTGAGGATGGAATCGCCAATCTGCAAAGAAAAAGAAAAAAATATATAAGTATGGATTGGTAAAAAATAACACATTTTTACTAAGAATTTAATCAAATAAATAGTAAAATAAAATGTATTTTATGAGGATTATACTAAAAAGAGGTTTCCCGTATGTAAAACTGAACAAATGAGTGGATATTTGCTTCATCAGCTCCCAGAAGTAACGGTCAATGACTAGCAGACCTTAAAAGTGGAATTTTAAGGATTCTTTCAAGGTCCAGCAGACTTCTAAACATGGAATTTTTAAGAAAAAACGGTCATGATGTGCTGACTACACAACTTCGATTTTTGATTAATTATTTCAAGCACTAGGATTTTTGAAGACTTCAAATTCTGCTGGTGGCGTAGACTTTTGAAGAAAAAATTTTCAAAGACCGACAGCAGCTGAAAACGTTAGTTTTTAAGGATTATTATTTTATTGGGTCAGAAGCCGTGTAACTTAAATGTTATGAGTAAATGTTTTTTAGACGACATAAAAAGGGAGATTTAAAAAACTCTAATTGTTAATTTTTAAGGAATATATTCTAAACGAGCAACAAAGAAAAAAGCCCAGATTTTAAAAATGTTCTTTAATTATGACACTTGATATTTTAATGCAAAATTTTGAAGGACCACCAGACGAAACGGTAACGATGAAACGGTAAAGATTTTTTTCAAGAGCCAGCAGATCTCTTATCTTGGAATTGGATTTAATATTGGCTGTGTTTTTCAAGAAATAATTTTTTAAAACAACATAAGATTTCTAAACGTGATTTAAAAAAAAAAATATTTTTCAAGGAGCATCAGGTGATTAAAACGTGGATTTCAAACAAAATATTTTTTTTGTAAAAAATATTTTTTTTTCAAGGAACACCAAGCGATCAAAAGGTGGATTTAAAAAATATATTTTTTAAAGGAACACCGGAAGATCAAAACGTGAATTTTTTTAAAAATATTTTTTGAGGACCACCAGGAGCTCAAAACGTGTATTAAAAAAATTCAGGAAAATACGGAGGTCAAAACGTTGATATAAAAAAATCAAGGACCACCAAAATGATGAATTTAAAAAAAAAATTTTCAAGGATTTTTGAGGACTTAAAAAAATTTTTCTATGACCACCAGGAGCTCAAAAAGTGGATTTAAAAATATATATTTTTTTTCAAGGATCACCAAAAACGTCGAATTTCATTTTTTAAGGACCACCATAACGTAAATTTGCTAAAAAATATATTTTTTCCAGGACCACTGGCAACTCAAAACGTGGATTTTTAAATTAAAAAAAAAATATTTTCCAAAATTTAAATTTATAAAAAATATTTTTCCAAAAATTATCTATTACCACAAGGAAAACGTGAATTTTTTATTTTTAAGAAATGCCAAAGCGTATTTTTCTTTAAACACATATTTTTTAAAGTCATAACACATATTTTTTAAAGAATTAAAAAAAATATATATATATTTTGAGGACAAATTAGTTAAAAATGGGTTTTTTAGTTAATAATTAATCACAGGTCTACAGACGTGACTCTTGCAAGGACTTGCAGGAGCTCAAAACTTGGAACACACGAAAATAATTTTTCATATTTTCTTAATTGTTCTTTCTTAAGTTCCAGTACAATTCAAAAGGTATTGCAAAATATATTAGGTTTTCATAAGAATTGAAGAGTATTTTATTCAAGGAAGATCTGTTGTGGATCTTTCTTTTAAGACGCTAGAACACCTACCTCTAGATCACCTTCCATCTATCGAGGGTATGAAAAAGTGTTCTTCTTATAGTGTATGTGTGAAATTTCTTCTGTCTATAACAAATCTGTGGAATGTAGTCTATTGAAGAAAGTATTGCTGAAGGTATCTATATAGAGGAAGACATAGGGAAGTTTTTATTTTGTCTTTAGAAGAGCTATGGAGGCCGTTGAGATATTGTCGATAATGTCGTTACGGATAACATATGTATGCTTGGCCAGAATTTAATTACTGTCTCCACAGCCGCCATCTCTCAATTTGTATGCGCTGTCAGTTTATTTTATTGCTGTCACCTAACAATTGTTCTAGTTTCGATTTGATTCAGCTCTTGTGGCTTTCCAAAAAAAAAAAAAAAACTGAAAAAAGTATAAATAAACCAAAAAAACAACATTTAAACGCAAAAAACACACACGCTTTACTTTTTTTGTTGATGTTATGAGAGAACTACTTATGAGTAACGCACATACATAGTGGCGGTGTTGATGAGAATTGCTCACAACCCACATTTAAATATGGACGTACAAGCTGGTAAATAGATTATATTGGCCAACGCAGTGTTTTATTTTCGTCTTCAAACTCGATGTGGAATTTCCATAAAGTGTGGCATTATATTTTAGACTTTGAATCTTCGAAAAATTGAAAAACTAAGGAAGAATAGTAAAGCGATAATTTCCCAAACAGTCCTACAAAAGGTTTGATGTATTAACAAATTAAAAAAAAAATATTCCTCCAGAATTCAAGTATAGAGGTTTGGTAGCTCTTGAAAAAAAATATTTTTAAAAAATACCTACATTAAATTTAGCTGGTTTTTATTTTACTGAACCCATGATGATTTGGAGGTCTGCTAGTCCTTCAAAATTATTTCCTCCGTTAATACTTTTAGAAGAGTATTTTATTCCAGATATGTTCCATCTATAGGCCAGTAAGGAAAAGTCAAAAGTCAAAAGTCGGGCGGGCCGACTATATGATACCCTACACCACTATGCATATTTATTAGAGCTCCCGTAAAAAAATAATTTATTTAAGGTAGATCATACCACCTATTAACATTTGGCTTTAGAGCAGTTATAGATTGGTTCCAGAGGGAACTAATATATGGAAGGCATATTCAATTCAGAATCGATTTTCTCTAAATTTGACGGAGACATTTTTTATCTTTTATACCAAATAACATTGCTGTAGAGTGATATAGATATCTGGTACCAAATATCATTGTTGTCGAATGCATATTACGAATGTGAGGGACTTAACGACCAAATCGGATGAAACATATATATGGGAGCTATATCTATATCTAAACCGATTTTCTCCAAATTTGATGTTCTTGCTTCTAGACTTAATTCGGTTGGATGTACCAAAATGCAGGTCATTTGGACCAATATTGGTCATTTAGTGCAAAAAACTGAAATCGGATAAAGATATGTATGGGTGCTATAGCTATATCTGAACCGATTTTCCCCAAATTTGATGTACTTTCTTCTAGACTGAATTCGGTCGAACGTGCCAACCGGAAATCAGTTGAAGATATTTAAGGGAGCTATATCCAAACCTGAACCGATCTTGATACAATTTGACAGAGGTATTGTTGGGATGTATCAGATATCTGGTACCAAATGATTCTTCTTGTGGGGTGTATAATACGAATGAGCGGGTCTTAAACACCAAATCGGATGAAACATATATATGGGAGCTATAGGTATATCTGAATCGATTTTCACAAAATTTAATGTAATTGCTTCTAGACTGAATTCGGTCGGATGTGCCAAAATTTTGGACAGATATTGGCCATTTAGTGCTCAAATAACCCGAAATCGGTAGAAGATATATATGGGATCTATATCCAATTTGAACCGATTCTCACCAATTTCAATAGGATTCGTTCTTGGGCCAAACAAATATTGTTTGGAAAATTTCATCTCAATCGGATAGTAAATGCGATTGGCATTTTATTCACTAGAATACATGGAAAGACGGACTGCATAAATTAAGATCCTCAAAAGTAACTAAAGCTCTACCCTCGCTTCCTTCTCCATGTTACAAACAAATGCTCAAAGACATAATACTCATACCACTACATGGTGTAGGTATTAAACACACTCTATTTATAGAAGTGCTATCAATGGACGCCGTATACTAGGACTCCATCCAATCGAAATTGGCATTGGGTATTTTTCCTACAGAATATCATGAAATAACTTTTTCAGAAGAGATTTCTTTTCGATCGGTTTAATGGATTTTTTAAGTTTTTTTTAGATTTTCTTCTGAAAATTTAATAGTTCTCTTCACACAATATGATTATTATGTATGTCATTCTGAAAATGACTCACATTCAGTTATTCAATTTTGCAATATTTGTATCTCCCTCCACACACGTCCCCATGTATTTCACATGTAATTCCAGTGCGCCTTGCATAAAGATCTTATTTCCATTATGTATTTCATAAATCATTGAACATTTGATGCATTTGAATAATAATTCGGAACACAAAAATATCGTTAATTGCATCTAAACGGACCGGGGGGAGGAGGTGTGGGTTTGTATTGAATTTAATCGGTACTGCCACGACGACGATGTCGCTGACGATGACGAGGATGGTAGTGTGGTTATGCTTCAATTATTCGATCGTTAATTAAATTTCATTAATAAATGTTGCGGTTTCTTAATAATAGCCATGGTGTAGTAGGAGGAGGAGGAGACCGTCAGGAAGGTATCTCATTCCGAATAGTCATCACCAGCAAATAGTTGTAATGTGTAATGATTTATTTGCGTGTTATATTTCAAATGGATTGCAAAAAAAAAAAAAAAAAAAAACAAACCTTGCACGGTGTAGGGGTTGCTTGTGACTCAGGAGGGAGGGGGTGGTTAACAATTCATCTCAATATCATTTAACAATTTGTCTTATGTCAGAAATGTCAACGATTGTTGAGCAAAACTAAGCACACATGTCAAATAAATTATCGTTACAAATTGTTTTGAAATTATTTGATTTCTTGTCATT